TGCATACTAGTACATGTGCTGGTGTGTGTGTGTGTGTGTGTGTTTATCTTTATGTGTGTCTGTGATTATATTTGTGTTTGTGTGCGTGTGTGTTTACGTGTGTGTATGTGTATATGTATGTGTGTGCGTCTGCGTGCGTGTGTCTATATTTGTACGTATGTGTGCCTGTACCTGTGTGCCTGTGTGCCTGGGTGTATGTACATGTGTAGGTCACGGTGATGTGCTGGGAGGCGCTCTGTGCATGAACAGCAAGGACCTGTACGACAAGCTCTACTTTGTCCAGTATGCCGTCGGCGCAGTGCAGAGCCCCTTCGACTGCTACATGGCCAACAGAGGGCTGAAGACCCTGGCCGTGCGCATGAAGCAGCATCAGAAGAACGCCTTTGCTGTCGCTCGCTTCCTGGAGGCTCACTCACGCGTGGAGCGTGTTGTCTACCCAGGTATGTGTGGCAACAAGAATCACAGCCCTGTGTACCTTTAAAAGTGCTTATTTCTGGTCAAGGTGTCGCCTTTTCTCAAACACTACCTTGACTATCATGCCGCGTTGTCTCACTTGGCGTTGATCTCATTTCGCTACACTGCTGGACGGCATCATTGTTATTAATTGGGTTTTGTGTGCGAAATGATCACTACAAATGCCCTGTGCACATCGTCGGTAGGGACATCACAGCCCTTCCAGATCAATGGAAGCAGTTGCAGCTCCTATGAGGATCTGTGTTCTTGTGCATACTAGTAGTGTCGACTTTGATATGGTGTACGACCATTCTCAGTAGCAGCCATGTTGGTATGCTTCCCCATGTGTCCAGGACTCCCGTCGCATCCTCAGCATGAGCTGGCCTGTCGCCAGGGCAAGGGATTCGGAGGCATGGTCGTGTGCTTCATTAAGGGTGGTCTGGAGCAGTCCAAGACCTTCCTCAGCTCTCTCAAGGTACTGTGCGTGTGTCTATGTGTGTGTGTGTGTGTGTGTGTGTGTGTGTGTGTGTACATGTGTGTGTGTGTGTGTGTGTGTGTGTGTGTGTGTGTGTGTGTGTACATGTGTGTGTGTGTGTGTGTGTGTGTGTGTGTGTGTGTGTGTGTGTGTGTGTGTGTGTGTGTGTGTGTGTGTGTGTGTGTGTGTGTGTGTGTGTGTGTGTGTGTGTGTGTGTGTGTGTGTGTGTGTGTGTGTGTGTGTGTGTGTGTGTGTGTGTGTGTGTGTGTGTGTGTGTGTGTGTGTGTGTGTGTGTGTGTGTGTGTGTGTGTGTGTGTGTGTGTGTGTGTGTGTGTGTGTGTGTGTGTGTGTGTGTGTGTGTGTGTGTGTGTGTGTGTGTGTGTGTGTGTGTGTGTGTGTGTGTGTGTGTGTGTGTGTGTGTGTGTGTGTGTGTGTGTGTGTGTGTGTGTGTGTGTGTGTGTGTGTGTGTGTGTGTGTGTGTGTGTGTGTGTGTGTGTGTGTGTGTGTGTGTGTGTGTGTGTGTGTGTGTGTGTGTGTGTGTGTGTGTGTGTGTGTGTGTGTGTGTGTGTGTGTGTGTGTGTGTGTGTGTGTGTGTGTGTGTGTGTGTGTGTGTGTGTGTGTGTGTGTGTGTGTGTGTGTGCATGTGTGCATGTGTGTTTGCCTGTATGTGGGTGTGTGTGTATGTGTGTGTGTGTGTGTGTGTGTACATGTGTGTGTGTGGGATTCGTTTGTGTGTGTGTGTGTGTATATATATAATTATATGGGTGTGTGTGTGTGTGTGCATGTGTGTATGTGTGTTTGCCTGTATGTGGGTGTGTGTATGTGTGTGTGTGTGTGTGTGTGTGTGTGTTTGCGTGTGTGTTTGCGTGTGTCTGTGCATGTGCATGTGCAAATGGTCTCCGATTGCCATTGGTTGGTTTTTGAACCCGAGCTTCTCCCAAGGAGATCATCGACTCAATCATTGTGATGAAGGGGTTATCTGGTGTATGTTAGTGTAGTAACATTATGTGCCGGCAGGCTACTGTTAAATGCACATCCAGTAACAATGGCTGCGAGTGAAATCCGGCCTCATGAATTTATAACCATTCTGTGGTTTGCAGGCACTGCACTTGCACTAAGTTGTGAATGCTAGGTTGATCAGTGTTTTGATCAGTTGCCGTTTCTACCTCAACGGCATCTTTGAACGAAATGGAACAAAGAACTTGGCCTGTAGGAAAGTATACGGTTGGAATCTCGCGGACGTACATGTATGCAGCCAATGAGTTGACGTACATGTATGCAGCCAATGAGTTGAACCACGTGCGCATGTAGTTAGCATGCCTCTTTTAATGGGTTAATTGTTTCTGTTGGGTGTTGTACCGAGCTTTACTTCATCTACCGTAAAAGTCCGTAAATAAGTACCTGCCCGAAAGAAATACCCCCTTCATTCTTTTGGCTCTGTCTGTTGAAGTCAAGTCAAGCCCGATAAACATACTGCCCGAAATAAGTACCGGTACGGTGCGCACATGCAGCACGTAGCATGTACATCGACATGAAAATGACTTCTCCACTACACACAAGTCAGGTCCGAAAGTTAGTTCGCGCCCGAAAGTCAGTACCCGCCCGAAAGTTAGTACGGGTGTGGTCACTAAATTCGAAAGTAAATACGTACTTATTTACGGACTTTTACGGTAACTTTAATACCGCCTTGTTTGCGTTTTCTTTGCTTTCTTTCACCCTCCCGTGGACCCCTAGGTGTTCACGCTGGCAGAGAGTTTGGGTGGCTTCGAGAGCTTGGCTGAACTGCCGTAAGTGTGTGTCACTGTGTGTGTGTGGCGTGTATGTGTGTGTGAGAGAGAGAGGGAGAGATGGACAGAAAGACATAGAAAGAGAGTTGGGTAGGTAGGTACATTTGCTTCTACAGTATCATACTACAGTCCATTCATGTGCTCTACTCTACTCTACTCTGCTTTGCTCTGCTCTGCTCTGCTCCGCTCTGCTCTGCTCTGCTCTGCTCCGCTCTGCTCTGCTCTGCTCTGCTCTGCTTCTACTCTGCTCTACTCTACTCTGCTCTACTCTACTCTGCTCTGGACACAGCACCTGCACTGTACGCATACATTTTCTTTATTACATTTTCTTTATTTCTTGAGATTCCGGTGATCCGTACTGATACTTGTTGCATTGGCACACACTTTTCTTTGCTACGTACATTGGAATTGTACATACATGTACTGTCCTGTGGATGTGCTGTGGATGTGCTGTTGGTCTGACTGGTGGTGTGCTCTGTGCTGTGCAGTTCCCGCATGACACACGCTTCCATTACGCAAGAGGAGCGCACCAAGCTGGGCATCTCCGACACGCTGGTAGGTTTAATGAGATCTTAGTCGTGGCAGCTTAGCTCGATGTTATCTACGAGTGTACTGTGCCTCTGTCCAATGTCTCTCAACGTTGCATTGAGCTCTTTGGTATTGCTTTTCAATCGCTTCATCAAACTTTGCAATGGACAGCATGCGTCCCACGGATGTCATAAATGAACTCTGCTTCTGCTGAGAGATGAGGCTCGGCACCTAACAGCCGAATACAGCATCTAGCATTGATGCTCGCTGTTTCACGGTGCACGCTCAAGAATCAGATCTCCTCCTTTCCAATGTTTGCATTTTAAATGGGCTGTTGGTGTTTGTCATTGTTCTGGTTGCACAGTAGCTGTTTTTAAAGACGTGTTTGTATCTGTGTGCTTAGATCCGTCTCTCTGTTGGCCTGGAAGAGGAGGAAGACTTGCTGACAGATCTGGAGCAGGCACTGAAGAAGGCCGTGAGTTTCTCAATATTTACATGTATATGCAGCAGCAGCAGCAATACTTTCTTCTATGACTATGCTGTATCCCAGTATGTAGGCGTCAGCGACACCGGTGACAGTTGTTCTTTTAGCATTGTACTATGTATGCTGTGTACATTGTCGGTGAGGTCCCTGTTTGCATGTTCAAAGGAGGCATGAACTGATACACTGGCTCGGGCCAGCACACACAGCTGTACACCGAGCTGTAGCGTGGTTGCTTCTCACACAAAGCTGATACTGAGTACATGTCAAGTCTGGATGATACAGTCTTGGCAATGCTACGTAGTACATGTATCAGGGCCGGTGCCACTTGTGCGGCCGTTACGGCCATGGCCGTACCAATTTCTCAAAAAGCCGGTCCACGCGGAACGTCCAAAACCGGGGAGAAAACGTTTCGATGTATGATTTTATACAGAGAGTCGTAAAAACGGATTACCCTGTCATCAGGAACATTCTACGTACAGTGAAGTATCATAGATGCACAGCCTGAAACTAGTGTATTCTGCATTGGAATGTCAGACTTGCAAGTTGTACCAAGGGGCTAGGAGATCCACCGAAATGCGCCCAGAGCAGGATTTGCCTTCTAAATTTCTAAAATTTTCTGCGGGAGGACCCCACACCCCCCCCCCCTTCAACAGGGTACTCGGCCGCTCCGTGGGAGCTGGCTCCGGCCCTGTGTATGCCATACCAGGTGGTCCATGCTGGGCAAGAAAACGCCAGAGATTAGTTGCAACTACTTATCCAAAGACGGCAAAGTGGTGCCTTGCCTTCTGTACGTGTACAACCCTGCACCCAGCACATAGAGCACTGTTCCATGCAGTTACTGTTCACACCGGCTAGTAATAACTGTACAGGCCTCCGGTACCCATCGGCCGTGATTACAAACATGTTGCAATGGGTAGTAACTTATATGTAAGGTGACCAGCTAGTACTCCATCTTGGGACAGTTAGCTGTTTTGAGTCTTTTGACCTTGCCAGGTCTCACCAGCAGAGCTCAGAGTCACTGGCCCATCGCAATGAAGCATTTTTAAATTGCCTCAAAGCATTAGTGCTCTAATTGCAAGATCAGGTTATGGAGTACATCTACCCTGTCCTAGAAATGATGTATTTTCAAGACTCCATGTGTGGTGTGTAGCGTGTGGATGATTGCTACTTTGTTGTTTCGTGTTTCTTGCAGGTCCCAGACTCCCTGCTCTAAGTTAATTCAACAATGTCTCTAGCAGAATAGGCGTCTATGAGCGTGCCCAGTGCCCTGTGAGGCTGAGCGCAGAGCCCCGATGACTGCAGCACTCCTGCTGCTTTGGTATGGCGGCACTGATTTCCAATTCACTCTGTTGCTCTGAGTACAATATCAGCCATGCAAGTGAGTGACTGCCTGTGTCTTCTTAGCGTTGTGTTCTAGTGAGAAGTTGTTTCAGACGTCTCCACTAAAACTATTTAAGTTAGCACCATGAGCTCAAATGCCAATTTGTAGGATTTTTATTTGTTACTTCAAGTAGCATTTCCCCTTTTTCTGTTTTGCGCATTTTTTGTCTTCTTTGTACACACGGATGTACTACTGTGCACAAGGAATTAGTTTCTTTGAGACATAGGAAGTACTCTTGATCTAAGTGTTTTCTCACTTCCTATTGGTGTGCAGTATTGCACCTGTTTGAGTATGTCTCAGCAGCAGACTCGGTTTGGTAGTTGTGATGGTGCATGCACGGGCTCTTGCAGTTTGCCCTCGGATTTCTTTAGACTGCTCGAAACAGTTGCGTGCTAGCAAGAGTACATGCATGCACCTGACCATCATCTGGGTGGAACAATATAACATCAGGGTTCTAGCCAGGTCAATATAGTAGGGGGGCGGGCATGGGAAAAAGTTACCCCATGACCTATTTTTTCCATTGTCCAAGATTGTCTTGCCATGCAAAATGCAACATACAGGGTGAACCCCCGACTTCACCCCTCACAAATGTGCCTTTATGAACCCTCTAGTAGTGACTATCGACTGTATTTTCGTTGAATGGCGTGAAAAAATACAAAAATCGGAAATGAGTAGGGAGGCGGCACTTTTTCACAGGGGGCGCGCAAACGGAGTATGGGGGGGGGGGGGCGCTGCGCCCTCCTGCCCCCCTTTGGCTAGAACCCTGAACATCACACCAGGAGTAAAATAAAGAGTGTGCCACTCTGAATACCCTTTCTATGGGGTCCGCTAATGGCAAAAAAAACCTCATAACACGCGGTGTAGTGTTCCAGTTGTGTACATTCCCAGATCGTTTTAGTGAGCAGTGGAGTACTAAAAATAGCACCTCCTGACAGAAACCCACTCAGGTTTATGCGAGTCGTCAGCATGCTCATGACAGATATTCAGGCTGTGCGCACACTGGCCTGCGTTGTACATACTCATTGTACGCAACGTACTTGGAACACGTGATGTGGGGTTTTCCCGTGGGTGGCCCATATGCAAAGTTGCACACTTGATCTCGGTTTGATTTTACTCATGATTACCAGTATACAGGTGAAACCTGGTTTCAGCAACCACGCATGGTTCCAGCCCAAAGTGGTCTTATAAACAGGTGGTCTTTCAAAGCAGGTGATCTCCCTATATGGTGATATTGGTATCAAATGAATCCTCGCACTGCCTGCTGTGCATTGGTGAAGTGTATAGCTTAAAGGGGGAGTGATATACTGAAGTACTGATACATGACTGTACAGCACTACACAGCACTGTACTACTTGTAGTGTACACATACATGTACATGTATGTGTACATGTATGTGGTGGCACTGAGAGACAGCACAAGAAACCAGAACCAGAGAGAAGCCGTACGTTGTTGTTGTTTATTTGAATTCGAGAGACCATACAGCTAAGTAAGGTACAAACAAAGATTTTCAGATCGAGTACTGAAGTCGTGAAGTGGTCGTTGAACTGGCGATCGGTACCAATTGTAAGCCGATCGCTGGTCGCGGCGAGCGAGTGGTCGCTGAATGCGAGTCAGAATGTACGTGAAACGGACGGTGCCAGACAAATACGGTCATCCATAGCAGGTGGTCGCTGAGTCCAGGTGGTCTTTGGAGCAGGTTTTACCTGTACCTTCACTAAAATATCCGTGTGCTCGCTCGAGCTCTTTTGCTGTAGAAGTTCATCTTGAGGACCTCTCTACTCCCCTGGTCAGGGACCATCACCAAGAGTACCCAACTTCCCAGTACAGCCAGTGTGCACCTGCTCATAGGTAGCTGGTGGCCCAGTTCTGGCTGGGACTTGATCAATTATTATTTTCAGGATGACATTATTTTCATGGTGTTGCCATTGGTTACCAGTTAGCTCATGCGCATGCATTCAATATTCAGGGCGGACTGTGCGGTTTTGTGTGCAGTTAGGTGTAGTACAACACAAACGATGGTAACGTGATTATTTTCCCGTTTCAACTCCCTCAAACTGATGAATGTTTTTTAAAACGAGTCGTTCCTGTAGTGTCTGCCAACTAGCTACTTGCACGTGTCTGAAGCACTTTAGACTTACATCAGAAAGTGTTACAAGCTGACAGCACTAGCGGGAGGAATACAAGCTCTTAGGCTTCCCAACTCTTTACTTTCCAATTCCACACAGAACTGAAAGAGAGCATGGAGTTTAACTCAGTTATAATTATACTAGTAGGGCAGAGAGCGCAGCTAGGCTGGGGGTGAGGGCAAGGAAAGCAGTAGGACAACAGGACTAGAAACAGTGTGGGAGGAAGAATGGACCTAAGGAGCGAGCCACAGTTAGGCAACAGGAATGACATCTAAAACTGTGTAGGGAAAGGAAGGTGAATTGTAGGGCGCGCAATTGGGGGTGACGGATACCGGGAAACACAGCTGTTCAGAAAGAGAAGCTGAGAAAGAGAGAAGCTGGATAGAGCGAGGAAAATCTTATACCTGGTGATCACGAGGGTCGGGGATGGGGAACGATGCATGAAGCAGGACTACAGCCTAGTACAGGAATCAATGTAATGCAGAGTACAGCATGAATGGGTGTTATCAAGAGTACATAACCCCCCAGAGTGTGCAACGCCTGATCCAGCTCTGCATAGGGTCTTGGTCGAGCGGAATCGGATCTTTGCGTCATAATACCGTACAAATCTGAAGGGAACCCGGGGAGTCGCGGGTACTCTTGGATCAAAAACAATGGTGCCCTGCCTCGAGACCGGCCTTGCACTGGTGTGGAGTGTACGCATGACATCAGAAGATCCGATTCCGCTCGACCAAGACCCTATGCAGAGCTGGATCGGCGTTGCACACTCTGGGGGGTTATGTACTCTTGGTGTTATGGGTCATGCCATGTTGGGCGTGCACTCAGTGCTGTCTAATCCTAAGTGGTTGCGTGAGAGAATCACTTACACTGTCTGTACATGTGTCCTGAACTACAATGTAACTACTTGTAGGAGGTTGTGTGATAGTGACAGTTAGGGGTACTACATGTCTATGGAGATGCACACTCTAGGCAGCCATGCACTATTATCGTTGTCATCCTTGTAGCTGCACATGTATGTCCACATGTATGTCCATTGTCCACATGTATGTCCACATGTATGTCCACGGATGGGTAACACAAGTACATAATTGTGCGTTAGTACTGTTTCAGAGAAGAACAACAACAACACATGATGGAAAATGTCAACGCTCAGTGTAGTCTTGTCAGAATCCAATACGCACACCATAACCTGTCCAGCATATTTTTTGTAAGTCATTAGACAATATCGACCATCGCTTCGTAAAACACTTGCCAGAAAATCTCTTCTTCAATACAACAAAAAATAGAGAAATTCAAGAGGCTAATACGCACAGTTTGATATTGCGGTTGTGCCATCTTACATCTACATGTATTTATCAAAGTTATTAGAGTTTTTAGAGAACAGTTGAAGAGCAATGCTGTTGACCATGTAAAAAACTAAATGACACACTATATTGTCCCAGAAAGATTGTCTTTGAAAGATAATACTCTAGGTATGGCTCTGGATTCCATTGCATGCACAGCTCGTCACTGCCAGGTCTGATCCTGGGCCATCAAAGCATTCGGCACAGGCCTCATGATACGATATTGTGAGAGCCTCACCTGGCACCAAGCACAGCCAAGTAAGCACACGACAATCCAGCAATAATAGCTTGACAGTTGCCGGCTAGTGCTCGTGTCCAGGTGGTGCTCATTGTGGTATTGGTCAGAGACGCCTGGCTGTCACTCACTTCCCGTGGTAGTAACCGGGCCGGAAATACAGCTTCTTTGTTAGCTGTGACACCTGCGTTGGTTGCTGCTTTTTGGCCGAGATGGTCTCAAACTCTGTTGCTATGCACTTGCTCACTCGTGTCATCATATCAAGCAAATGCTCTTTATCGGAGTAATCCCGGAAGGTTTTGATGATACCCTGCACAAACCAGGATCCCCTCTTAATGTTCCTTAATGACTCATAGCCAGGACTGGATGCGTAGCCAACAAATATGTCGGTCGTGGATGCTATCCGGGCGAGAACGGGGGGCCAGCAACCAGGTCCATCTGTCACGTCTACCCCCTCGTCCTGTTTTCCACCACAACATGCCTGAACAGGTAGGGAATGGGACACACACACATACGCATACACGCACACGCACACACACACACACACACACACACACACACACATACACACACCGTTGGACCTTTGGACCTTTTGACGCCCATCGCCGCAGGCGATGCTACAGCAGAAGCCATAGCAACTTACTTGTGCTGGGATTGCACCATTCAACAGCATGCAAGGCTGAAGAATTGACCGCCACTATTCAGCCTTGTAGACCACACAGCTATGAAGTGGCTTTTTCTGGCCAGTGAATCCCTTTTTCTTCTTCTTTTTTTCCGCACACGACATCACACCACACACTCCGGCATGCACTGGCTGTTAGTAACCACCCAGGAGAATGAAAGAAAAGTCAGGAGGAGTCTGAGAAAGAGAAGAAATACGTGTGTGACCATAATCGTCAGGAATCGAACCCGCAACCTCTCGATTGGAAATTACTGCACCATATGAGACACCATTGGACCATTGGACGCCCATCGCCGAAGGCGATGATAGTGATGCTACAACAGAAGCCATAGCAACTTGTGCTGGGATTGCACCATTCAACAGCTTGCAAGGCTGAAGAATTGGCCGCCACTATTCAGCCTGGTCTACACCACACAGCTATGAAGTGGCTTTTTTCTGGCCAGTGAATCCCTACTTTTGGTCTTTTTTTAATTATTTTCCTGCACGCACATCTCACCACATACTCCGGCATGCACCGGCTGTTGGTAACCACCCAGGAGCATGAAAGAAAAGTCAGGAGGAGTCTGAGAAAGAGAAGAAAGACGTGTGCGACCATAATCTTCGGGAATCGAACCCGCAACCTATCCATTGGAAATCGCTGCACATACCACTGCACCATATGGGACACACACACACACACACACACACACACACACACACACACACACACACACACACACACACACACACACACACACACACACACACACACACACACACTACTACTACTACTACTACCGTAAAGTACCGCCAGAGCGCCCGTCTCGCGAGAGCGCCCCACCTTGATTTTACAGCCAGAGAAAGGAAAATCATATGGCAGAGTGCAACGAAGTGTGTACGATGTGAGAATCTTAGTGTACTAAGGTCAAACTTGGCAGGTTTTTGTGTGGACCTTGTGTCCTCTTGAAGGTACGGATTGGCTGCAAAACGTGCAATATGTGTACAAGGTTCATGTCGTATGACCTACAGACCACAGACCACCTCCACAATACGACCACGAAAGGATGAGATGGTGGGGCGCTCTGGCGATACTTTACGGTACTATTACAATTGAACATCGATTATCCGCACATCGACTATCCGACCATTCGATTATCCGTAACAGTTTTTTTGGGCGCACGTGCCGTAGAGTACGCACTGTGCATGTAGTGAGCCATTCAAAAAATACGAAAATTTTGAAAAGTAGCACTCTATTCTATTTACAATGTACATGTACATGTATTTACAGTGTGTTTTCTTATCCGGAACATTTGCCTTATCTGAACACCGCCTGACAGTTGCCTGCCCAGAGGTGGTCGGATAATCGATGTTCAACTGTACTACTACTACTGTAGCGTATAGCATATCCCCGTACATTAGCATACGGAGTCTGCCTGTGCATTAAAGCTGCTGTTCACGATTCTTTTGAGCCAGTTAATTTCATTGCCAGTTATAGTTACATTTCAATTGCCAGTTACAGTGTGTTCACTGAGACCCTTGTGTATGCTTGCCTCCGAGAGACTGCGGCCCGCTACACTACTACTATATACAACTGCCACATAATGGCCACGTCGCTCCCAGAAGCGGGAGACAGCAGCGAGAAAGGAAAAGAAACAAGGAGAGTAATTGACGAGAAGAGGACACACACACAAACACCCGCACACGCACACACACACCATGTACACACATGCACGCACACACACGCACGCACACACACACACACACACACACACACACACACACCTGTCCTGTAGGGCCACTGCCCCAGGGGTCGCGTGGGCCCCGGAGGACACACACATGTACACACACATGTACACATGAAACGTACCCACACGCGCATGCACACGCACACACGTTATATTGTGAACTGGCTTTGCCAAAGCAGACTTCTGTCAGCATACACATAAGAGAATGTTCAGTTTACATTTCACAAGTCCATGTATTTAAATAAATGATTTTTAATGCACATTGAAAATGATCTTACCTGCAAAAAGAATAGCTTTGGTTTGCCGATGAGCGACCTATGCGCCTCACCATTGTTGAATAGCTCAGTCAGGTCATTTACGGGTACCAGGTTTCCGTCCGATCCATACAGCTTGCCCTCAACACCATGTGTGAGTATGCTGACAATCACGCAGTCACGGCCACTGTGGTCCTGCTTGGCAAGGTCTTGAAGCCTTTTGATTAAGTCTGCACGGCCCTGGTCTTCGAATATTTCCGTTTTAAATCCTAGATATGTCCAGAGCTATGCGTCAGTGCGTATGTAATGAACCACATCAGAAAAAGCAGCGTGTTTTATATGTTTGCAGTTTTGCAACTTTGCATGCTCGAATTGCCTGAACAGATGCTACATAAAGTTTTTTTTTAAATACAGAACGAATCCCAAGCACCGGTGCACCCTTGAGTGAGTATTGCAAATGTCGTGACTGCATCTGACTTACTGGTAGCTCAGTGCATAGTTGTTTCTCAACGAGACAGACCCAGGGTATGACACAAGTCCATGTTAATACTACCGTAAAGTACCGTTGATCCGCCCCCTCTCTAGTTGCCACCCCCTGTTGATTTTCTGCCCGTGAAGCGACTTCGGCGTTTACAACGAAATACGGTGTTGAACCGACTCGTGCACTGCTGTACACAATACGTGCCAGAGCAGGATGAAAATGTGCACAATCCAGATTGTTGTACATCGCACTGCACTTGACGGCCTTGATCTAATTCCCGCCCCCTGCCGAAAACCCAGCTTGGAAGCGACATGGCGTGTGTGTGTGGGGGGGGGGGGGGGGATAAACGGTACTTTACAGTACATGCAATAGTTAGATTGACAGCATGAAACAAGGAGGAGGACACTGTGATCGGAAACTTTACTACAACCTTCCGCGTTTGGCAGAGCCCCGGTCCCTGCGGACCATTTGAACCATATGGGTATCGCACCCGGTTCTGACCCTCATTATGCTAGGGGGTTAGGAGACTACTCCTGATGTCGTCTTGTTTTCTTCGCTCTTTTCTTTAACTTATATGAAGACTTCTTTTTCTTTTTCTTTTTTCTTCCAACTTCTGCCCATGGCGTCCTTCTCTCAGCTCGTCAACTGTCAACAGTTTTTTTTTGTCATCACCATGACACTGTCGCGAGAAGGTGCTCTCTGTAGACGGGGTTGGTGATGTCCCATGGCCACGTCGGGACATCACCAACCCCGTCCACAGAGAGCACCTTCTCGCGACAGTGTCATGGTGATGACAAAAAAAAACTGTTGACAGTTGACGAGCTGAGAGAAGGACGCCATGGGCAGAAGTTGGAAGAAAAAAGAAAAAGAAAAAGAAGTCTTCATATAAGTTAAAGAGCGAAGAAAACAAGACGACATCAGGAGTAGTCTCCTAACCCCCTAGCATAATGAGGGTCAGAACCGGGTGCGATACCCATATGGTTCAAATGGTCCGCAGGGACCGGGGCTCTGCCAACCGCGGAAGGTTGTAGTAAGGTCACTGTTTCCGAACACAGTGTCCTCCACCTTGTTTCATGCTGTCAATCTAACAATATGCGTGAACTATAACAAGGTTTATCTAAAACTGGTTTTTAACCAGTGTTAGGTTATATCATTTACGGTACATGTACAGTACAGCGTGACAAACACCTCGTCAGCACCAGGCAGCAGCTCGAGTCAGTGTTGCACATGGACGCCGAGGGCCTCTGACCATTCACAACTCTGTCACTCCCGATCATCTAGTTTGGTGAACGCCCCGAGTCCTTACACTGAAGAGTCGCTCAAGGTCTACAAGAGCCTACATTGTAGATGGATCCTCAAGTATTTAATGGTATGAGGGGTTGGTAATGTGAGCATATTCATGCAACTGTGCTGACAGTAGCAGCAAGATATTTGCAACTGCTAGCTAAAGCTATTTGTGTTTCACTCATCGTCAGTATCTGCTGATCCGTTGCAGATGTGGATTGCAGCTAAAACGAAGGGAAATGCCCTCTCTGTGTGGTGCACTGGCACACAATGGTCTCCTTTCTGGATCAGTTTTCCACATGTAAATCTGTAAACACTGATTCCACTGTTCGCCTTGGATCGATTGGTACAACCAGCAGCGCAACAACTCATCGGCATCACCGAACAGTTTTTTTACCGACGATTCCTGATGAGTGTTGTACGAAAACGTGTTTGAATCCTAATTTTTCTCTACACTATTTTTCCCATTTTCATCGTTTTACATTGCATGAATAAAGTACACACAAATGTCGATTTAGCTTGCCTTAAGTTATTGATTGCAGCTATCAATTTGTTTTAAAGTAGTTACAAAATCCAACTACATGTACTGTACATGTACAGTACATGTACTGTACGAACAAGCTATTGGGAGCAAAACCGTACCTAGCTGAAATTGCATGTAGTTGATTCGAATACAAGGAGGTCTTGCCACTCCGGAGCAAATCAGTGCCACGGAACCAGGGAAAATCAACAGCCCGCGAACTGAGCTCCCATCGTCCACCCAATCACGTAACTAGCAACGGTGCAGCAAGAAGATTCGAAGATTCGTGGCATACAATGGTCACTAGCTGAACCACACAGGAGGAACACGATTTTGATACTGCGCACACTGATGGTATTCGGCAAATCCATGTCTTCTTCAACTCCTATGGATTGGTTCGATTATCACCTGTAGCAGTTCGGGTTACTAGCAGTTTTGTTTTTGCAACACCGGGACATTGCACAGCCCTCTGAGTGTGGGTTGCATTTACAATGTGCAACACATACCTCAAAACACATACCTCAAAACACATACCTCAAAACACATACCTCAAACCACACATACCTCAAAACACATACCTCAAAACACACATACCTCAAACACACACATTACATGAACTTGAAATGTATGCTTCAGTACGACCGTAACGACGTTACGTGTAGCACATACTTTTTTCAATCCATCCCGGTCCACATCCGTGCCGATTCGCTCTGCCAATCCGGTCAGAAACTTCTTGTTATTGATGATGTAGGCCGTACCTCGCGGCTTACTCGTCATCTTGTACACTTCATCAAAGTTATTCAGGTCAACAGTCCACTGGTCGCTGCGTCTGCTGCCGCCACCGCCACAAGCCAGTAGTGACGCCAGAACACCATCGCCTGCACATAGAGAGAGAGAGAGAGAGAGAGAGAGAGAGAGAGAGAGAGAGAGAGAGAGAGAGAGAGAGAGAGAGAGAGAGAGAGATACAGGCAGGCAGGCAGACAGACAGGCAAAAACACAGACACGCACACGAGTAGCCAACAGCAGAAGATCGTGTGAATCTGAGTGTAAAGTTGTAAACATCTTCATTTCTCTAAAAAAAATTTCTATTTGTCTGTCGCCAGTTTTAATCATGTAGGATTAGCCTTCAAGAAACTTTTATATGCACTGATGTGTACAATCATGTATTCTTATTACTTTGTTGAATAGGTTTGTTACAAGATAGAGGTAGCGACTTAGGCGCTGATTTATTTAGAAAGGTGTTTGCTCCCCACACCAGGGCTCGCGCTTTTCCGCCAATTTGACTTGACATGTGACTGACTCACGACTGCTATCCAGAGCACACCGGAAGTCCATCGAACCTTCCACTCGGCAAACCTGCAAGAAAGCACCACTCCTTGCTCAATACACATTGTTTCAGGGAATTCACCCCTCATCAGTTGAGCTTGACTAGGCTGATGAAGATTGCGTCCGAAGAGCGCCACTTATAATTATAGTGCTCTCCAGGCAAAACCATCACCAGGGATACAAACTTACAGAGACGCTCCGTTTCCAGCGCAACAAACACCCCGTGAACACCAGATACCGTATTTCCACAAATAGTAGGCCGGTCTACTATTTTTTCAACCTCGTCCTAACCCGGCCTTATAATCGAGGACGGTCTTGTATTCGAGGACGGTCTTTTATTCTTTCAACCCAGTTTGACCCCGGTCTTCTATTTCTCGCCACACAGTTTTACCCCCGTTCTTCCATTTTCTTCTACACAGTTTGAGCACAGTCTTCTATTTTTTCCCACAGTTTGAGCACGGTCTTCTATTTTTAACACAAGAACAGACTCATTTAGTAGGCCCGGTCTTCTAATCGGAGACGGTCTTTTATTTTTTCAATCGCCCCCTGCCCCGGCCTTGTATACGAGGAAGGCGTTGTATACGAGGACGGCCTTTTATTTGCGGAAATACGGTAGTAGCGTCAGTCAGTCTCGCTCTTGGACAGTGAGAATAAACGTTGAGGACCCTCGGTCATTCGCAACTCGGCGGAAAAGCGCAAGCTCTGATGTGGGGAGCAAACACCATTCTTAATTGATTCGTTGATAGGGATAACCCAGATGTTTAGATTCTGTGGAAGGTGCAGGGTATCTTGTCATACTATTCGGAAGGTTGGCTGGAAAATCATGCTGGGAAAGTTGAACCCTTCGTAAATAGGGCATGAATGCACGGTTCAGGTATCAGAAAGTCACTGTATGGTACCGCTCCAAACTAGCACAGGCTCAAGCTCTTCATGGGGTAATAAGCTGGGGAGGTGCCAAACAAGAAATGCAGAAGTAAAAATCCTATGATATAGGATTTTGAAAATTCAGGACAACCAGGACTCCTTTACCAAAAGGTCTGGTTTCACAATCCAAAGGCCATTTGCTGGCCAAACTCTCCTGACTTCGCATTTTAGTTTGAACAGGCGATGTGGAGACAACGAGAGAGCTTGGAAGCTCAGGGCCCTGCGCTATGCTTCGTTGCCTAGCTCCTCGTGCATGTTGTTAGAACTGATGGAAATGCTTTTTTCTTTGATTAGCTACATCATTGGATTCGAAAACCGTTTCCATGAGATACTGAAGTAACGTCTTCTGCATAGCTATGGGACCGGCGCTGACTCTGCCGATCACGGGCGTTCTAGAGTCGACGGGATGTCTGTCCTGACGTTTCCTGGGACCGGCGCTGACTCTGCCGATCACGGGCGTTTATCTTCTTCTTATTATTTTACTGACGGCAACTAACATCCATTCTGATTGCATTTACTCGTCTCCCTACTTCGTATTTCTTTCCAGAAAATCTCCCCATACAGCAGGAAGTCGTTTACATAATATGACTCCCTGCTATACATCTACATGACTGTATAAACGTTATAATTATTATGCTATCCGCCTACATGCGATTCCCGGGCTGGTCGACAGGCAGCCCAGCCAGCCTGCTAGTGGGATCTTGGCCTCGCACACAAATCCACACAAAATGTTACTGCACTGAATGCATTCCCCCGAAACACTTCGCATATATACTCATTCTCTTGATGGTACCGTACTCTTAATGGTACGAGACAGGTACGGGATAGCGCCAGGCATGTCGATGGCACAAACAAACAAAAAGATTGTGGCCAGCTATCTTTGCTGGTACGGTACAGTACGGGACAGATACGGGATAGCGCCAGGCGTGACACAAACAAACAAACAAACAAACAAACAAACAAACAAACACCAAATTAAAGCTGTGTGGACCCTGGCTAGCGCCAGACGTTACTGAAGTAACGTCTTCTGCATAGCTACGGGAATAAAGCAATGAATAAAACCACGTGCGCACTCATATCACAATCATACAAGTAGCAACAATTTAAAAGGATTCGGGAACGTTTTCACTTTTTTCACTCCAAGTAAAGTGTATAAATCCTATTGTAGTTTCATCAGTTACGCGCCATGAACAAAAACAAAACAGAACCATATGTATACGAGTTAAGAGTAGCTGTTCACCCCTGTAACTAGATACTACCGTAAAGTACCGTTGATCCGCCCCCTCTCTAATTCCCGCCCCTGTCAATTTTCTCCTTGTGAAGCGACTTCGGCGTATACAACGAAATACGATGTTGAACCGACGCATGCACTGCTGTACACAATACTTGCCAATCCAGGATGAAAATGTGCACAATCCAGCACATTGAGTCTGATCCTCTACGTTGTTGTACATCGTACTGCACTTGACAGCCTTGATCTAATTCCCGCCCCCCTGCCGAAAACCCAGCTGGGAAGCGACATGGCGTGGGGGCGGATCAACGGTACTTTATGGTACCGTATTTCCGCAAATAAAAGGCCGTCCTCGTATACAACGCCTTCCTCGTATATAAGGCCGGGGCAGGGGGCGATTGAAAAAATAAAAGACCGTCTCCGATTAGAAGACCGGGCCTACTAAATGAGTCTTTGTTCTTGTGTTAAAAATAGAAGACCGTGCTCAAACTGTGGGAAAAAATAGAATATCGTGCTCAAACTGTGTAGAAGGAAATGGAAGAACGGGGGTAAAACTGTGTGGCGAGAAATAGAAGACCGGGGGGTCAAACTGGGTTGAAAGAATAAAAGACCGTCCTCGAATACAAGACCGTCCTCGATTATAAGGCCGGGTTAGGACGAGGTTGAAAAAAATAGTAGCGACAAACACCTCATTAACACCAGATTGCAGCGTGAGTCAGTGTCGCTCATGGAGGTGCTGAACAAGCGCTGAGGGCCGTTGGTCATTCACAACGTTGTCAATGCACAAGTTATGCGTTGGAGTCCACCGACTAAGCTATCAAGCAGTGCTCAAGCTCACTTCCTTGTACGTGGAATGTCTCCGTGCTCCTTGTCAGTCTGGTGCTACTTTGTTTTGCGCTACAGATTATTTTTTTCTGGTTTTAGAATTCGTACCGATCGTTGTTGTGTTAACTGCATAGACTTTTTTTCATTTTGCCTGTACCAGAGGCCTCAATAGTCTATACTAGTACAATACTATGTTTGGTTGACAGCATGTTACAAAGCGGATCGCGGAAGGCGCGCTGTGAAAGGTTAAAAAGGACTAAGGATCAAGAGGGTTTACGCAGGACTGACATCCAAGAAAGAACGAGGAATACACAACTGACAGTACAAAACAAACACAAGAAGACTCAACACCTCCCTAGTATAATGAAGGTCAGGACCAGGGCTAACCCCCATATGCTTCAAATGGTCGCAAGACCGGCGCTCTGTCAACCGTGGAGGTTGTAGTAAGGAGTACTGTTTCAGAACACAGTGCGTCCTCCGCCTTGTAACATGCTGTCAACCTAAAATGTGTTATTCAACAAAACAAGGTTTATTTAATGCTAGTACATACTATTAGATAAATATTGTTTTGTTGAATAACACATTTTAGGTTGACAGCATGTTACAAGGCGGAGGACGCACTGTGTTCTGAAACAGTACTCCTTACTACAACCATCCACGGTTGACAGAGCCCCGGTCTAATACACGACTGACAGTACAATAACAAAAAACAACAAGAAGAAGACTCAAACAACTACCTAGTATAATGAAAGTCAGGACCAGGCCTAACACCCATACGGTTCAAATGGTGGCAAGACCGGCGCTCTGCCAACCGTGGATGGCTGTAGTAAGGGGCACTGTTTCCGAACACGGTGGTCCTCCACCTTGTAATATGTTCACATGCTGTCAGCCAATAACATAGTACATCCATTGTACTAGTACCAAGAGTACCGTAAAGTACCGTTGATCCGCCCCCTGTTGATTTTCTACTTGTGAAGCGACTTCGGCGTATACAACGAAATACGATGTTGAACCGACGCATACACTGCTGTACACAATACTTGCCAATCCAGCACATCGAGTCTGATCCTCTACGTTGTTGTACATCGTATTGCACTTGACAGCCTTGATCTAATTCCCGCCCCCTGCCGAAAACCCAGCTGGGAAGCGACATGGCGTGGGGGGGGGGGGGGGGATCAACGGTACTTTACGGTACATACAGTGTACATGTAACTAAAATTACTTAGGTTATGTACTCTTGCTAGTACAAATAGATGTGCAACATACAATAATATTATACGCTATACTCTATAGATACTGATATGAATCCGACATAAAAAATAACTTTTAAAAAGCTCATGCCACCAAGAGTATAAGCTTATAATTATACCCTTGCAGTGTCTGCTCTAGGATTTCAAACCAACCAGGTACACGTATACCTGGCACGACTCTTGGCAACCGGGTCAGCGCTGGGGCACGCTCAAATGCGGCTACCGTATTTTCCGGAGTATAGTGCGCACTTTAGATGTGCTATTTTAGGCCCTAAATCGCAGGTGCGCACTATGCTCCGAATATGAAATGCATGTACTTCAATGAAGATTGAAGTGCGCACCCCCAATGAAGATTGGGGGTGCGCATTATACAAAGGTGCGCACTATACTCCTAAAATACGGTACTGCATGTACAGTCATGACTCATGTACACCAGTACTAGGCAGTAGTAGATCTACAGGGAGTCCTAACATTGTTAGCTAGGACTCCCTGATGTATTGTACAATCATGTACATGACTGCCAAACTGGTCACTTGTGAAGTGACTTGTGTGTTCTTTTTCCAAACAGGTCCAAGTACACCCCAACGCTGACCCGGCTCTGGCGCAGACACTAGTACTAGTGAGTCTTGATACTACTAAGTACTATCGACAGTACTTGATACTACTTGTAGTACTACATAATATTAATAATAATAATGAGAGGCTGGTGTTTTGCCTACCATCATACTTTCATCTGATTCTCGACCAGCAGTACGAGTCGTACTAGTAGGCAGTCGCGGACTTCTTTCCTCCATCACGCCTGTAACTCGTGTAAGCATTTTCTTGAGAGCATCTGCTGCTTCGCGATGGGCATCGGCCTGTGATCCTAGCAAGCCTTCCAGGAAGGCATTCCAGGCCTTTGCTCCTTTCCGAGGTATGACAGTCAACAGCTCTCTCGCCTGCTCCTTGGGAGTAGACTTCTGGGAAACCTTATCTTTTTCTGCGGTAGAAATAATTTCCTCGCTCAACAAATAGTCCAGGACATAGTCCTCAGGATTCAGCAACTCTAGCAGCGTCACTTGGCACTTTGTCAAAGCCCTCCTGTGATCCCCATCCATTGTTTGTTCTGCTCCTTCAACACAGTTTACACCGGCTAGAAGCCTAGAAAAAAACAAGTGTTCTACTTCAAATACAGTAGTCACTAGTGATCAGTGATGCAAAGGAAAATTCGCATACCGGTACCGGTATTCGGAATATTCCGACACCAGAAATGCAGAATGCAGACAGCATGCTAGCAGCATGTAATGCTAGCATTCGTGTACAGACAGTAAAACTCCCCAGATCCGGACGTCCCTATGAAAAACATGACATTGTCATGTTTTTGTAGTATAATTATAGTACTACCGGTAGTACTCCGGGCACCGCCGTATACCATGGTAATCGTGGTAATAGCGGGCACCAAAATCGTGTTGATCTCTGAGCCCTCGTTTCTAATCTCCACTGGCTCCCGCAATTTTTGCGGCCTGCCCTCATTGTGGGCACCCCATCACGGCGGCGTACCGGCGTATCCATAGTGCGCCTACGAGCTTCACCTTTTTTCCGGCACAACTATAATTACTTGCAGATGTATGTAATCAAGCACGCTCAGGAGGTCATAATGGCTGAATCTTGCCCGAGCCTGCAGCCCGAGGGCCGCAGGCAAGGGCAAGATTCAGCCATCATGACAGACAGAGCGTGCTTGATTTGATTTCTTACAGCGCGAAGCAACATATTAGAGAAGGTCAAAGGTCGAACAATTATTCCCGAAATGACGTCAAACGGTCCTGATGGCCTGATTATGCCCGCGGCGGGAAGACCGCCTATTGGCCATGGCCAACGATCACGTGTCATGTAAGAAAACAAACGTTATACTTGGAGAAGGCAGACGCCGCTGGCAGACAGCGTTATGTAACGAAGAAGCCGGGTCACAGTGACCAAACAAATATGCCAAAAAAGGGGACCGACCTAGTAGAGGTCACGGACAACGTAAGCACCGGTAACAATAGCCGAGTTTGAGACACAGGTGAAGGCCGTCTCTGACTGGCCTGAGGTCCAGTGCAAGAACATTGACATGGGATACAAGCTCCCCAATGATACAAGCTCGTGGCAAAAAGGCAAAAGATCGTAAGCAGAATCTACCCCTACGGCTCGTGTAGTGTGTGTGTGTGTGTGTGTGTGTGTGTGTGTGTGTGTGTGTGTGTGTGTGTGTGTGTGTGTGTGTGTGTGTAGGGCTCCCTATTATTTCGGCCAGTCGCCTACTACAATAATAGTAGCCGAGCCAACTGGCTACTTCTCCCTTGTCTAACTGGCAAGACAAGGGATGCGTAGCCATGAAGGGGCATGAGCCCGCCTCTCGGCACTGGGAGCACAGCTCGCTCGACTCTACTGAGTGAAGGGGACCCACACCTTGATCTGGTGAGCTGCGCCATGGGGAACTCGTACTGTTTCAGAGAAGAACAACAACACATGATGGAAACTGTCAACGGTCAGTGTAGTCTTGTCAGAGTCCAGTACGCACACCAAAACCTGTCCAACATATTTTGTAAGTTATTAGACAATATCGACCATTGCTTCGTAAAACACTTGCCAGAAAATCTCTTCTTCAATACAACAAAAAATAGAGAAATTCAAGAGGCTAATACGCACAATTTGACATTGCGGTTGTGCCATCTTACATCTACATGTATTTATCAAAGTTATTAGAGTTTTTTAGAGAACAGTTGAAGAGCAATGCTGTTGACCATGTAAAAAACTAAATGACACACTATATTGTCCCAGAAAGATTGTCTTCGAAAGATAATACTCTAGGTATGGCTCTGGATTCCGTTGCATGCACAGCTCGTCACTGCCAGGTCTGATCCTGGGCCATCAAAGCATTCGGCACAGGCCTCATGATACGATACGGTGAGAGCCTCACCTGGCACCAAGCACAGCCAAGTAAGCACACAACAGTCCAGCAATAACAGCTTGACAGTTGCCGGCTAGTGCTCGTGTCCAGCTGGTGCTCATCATGGTAGTGGTCAGTGACGCCTAGCTGTCGCTCACTTCCTGGCGTAGTAACCGGGCCGGAAATACAGCTTCTTTGTTAGCCGAACCACAGGCGATGGTACTTGCTTGTTATGGCCGCTGGCCTCAAACTCCGTCGCCACACACTGGTTCACTCGTACCATCATGTCGATCAAATGCTCTTCCTTGGAGTACTCGCGGAAGGTTTTGATGATACTCTGCACAAACCAAGATCCCCTCTCAGAGTTCCTCCATGACACAAAGCCAGGAATGGTTGCGTAGCCAACGAACATGTCGGCCGCGGATGGTATCGAGCGGAGCTTTCCGTCGATGGTGGTGTCCGAATCGTCCGTCATCATTTCCTCGGCAATAGCTGAATCAGGCTGGTCTGTTCCCTTGTCAAAGTAGTCACCGCGACATGCCTGAACAGGTAGAGAATAGATGGACAGACACGCACGCACATACACACACACATGCACTCCGTCCTTATTGTGAACTGGCTTTGCCTAAGCAGTCAAACGAATGTTCAGATTACATTGCACAGGTCAATGACTGTTATGATTTCATAAGCACCAAAAAATCATCAATGACCTTACCTGCAAAAAGAATAGCTTTGGTTTGCCGATGAGCGACTTATGCACCACATCATTGTTGAATAGCTCAATCAGGTCTTCTACGGGTACCAGGTCTCCGTCCGATCCATACAGCTTGCCCTCAACACCATGTGTGAGTATGCTGACCACCATGCAGTCACGACCAGTGTGGTCTTGCTTGGCAAGGCGTCCAAGCTCGTAGCGCAAGTCCCCGCCGCCCTGGTCTTTGAATATTCTTGTTTCGAATCCTAAACCGGTCCACATCTGCACGTCACGTCAGTGCGTGTACAGTAGTCAATCACACCAGACAAACAAACAGACTTCCATTTGCAATAAGCCCATTGCGCAATGACATTATAGTTTTTGTTTTACCACCGCCACCCCACACAGCTACAGCCACCCCAGCATGGCTGTGTGGGGTATGGAATCGGGAATTCTGCAAGTACCTTACTCTATTGAGTATGCAGTGGAATCCAGGTGGTATAACAAGGTGAAGGCAAGAATGTTCCAGCGTTAGGAATTAACATGGAATCGAGCGTGTTTAGGCCAACCACACTCTCACCAAGTTCACAGCTGGAGCACCCGAAATACTACAGTGCTCTGCTGAACCCAGCGTACACACATGCTGAACTTATGCATTTCATGTTTGGCAATGCACAACGGGCTTTTCATGTATGTTTGCATGCTCCAATTGCCTGAACAGATGCTGCATATGATGTAATGGGGGGAAGACTGAGTATCCCACGAGTCATGACTCATAAGATAGCAGGCAAGAGGGCTGTCCAAGCTCAACATCATACTAGTATTTAAAAAGAGCTCCATCATCCACTCAGCGACATTACAAGCAAAGGTGCAGCAAGAAGATTCGTGGAATACAGTGGTCACTAGCCGAACCACACAGCAGGAACTAAATTTGATAGTGAGCATACTGATGATATTCGGCAAATCCATGTCTTCTTCAACTCCTATGGACTGGTTTGATTATCAACTGTAGCAGTTCGGGTACAACGCCAGGACATTACACAATTCTTTGAGTGGTGGTTAGGTTTACAATGTGCAACACTTACCTCATATCACATGTACCTCAAACTGTACCGCCAGAGCACCCCACCTTGATTTTACAGCCAAGGGAAGGAAAAGTGTATGGCGGAGTGCAACTAAGTTTGTACGGTGTGAGACCCCCCCCCCCCCCCCACACACACACAACACGACCACATAAGGCAAGTGGGGGTGGGGTGCGCTCGCAGTACTTTACCACACAGCCACATGCGCAGCACATAACAAGTTACCTCGTCCAGTGCGTTCATGTCCACATCGGTGCCATTACGCTTTGGCATTCCACTGCTCCTCGAAAAGTTTTTGTTGTTGATCACGTAGGCCATACCTCGCGGCTGACTTGTCATCTTGTACACATCATTGAAATTGTCCAGATCTACCCGGACAGTCAACTGGCTGCTATCGCTGCGGCCAGTACTGCTGCTGCCACTGCCACCAAGCCAGTCCGGCTGAGTGCTGCCACCGACAGCGGGACGGGACGCTCCAGCACCATCGCCTGCACAACACGTAGATATGCACAGACACACACCAATAGAGATACACACATACACACACACGGGTAGCCAGCAGCAGAAGAACGGATATTTGCCAACAGTGTCCCGTGTTGTGCACAAACAGTAGCCTTGACACGCAGTTGCGTCGAGTTGCAGTATGCAAAATAAAAGAGATTTTGAACAGATCTTGGGCAATGGGTGCATCTGTTGCAGTACGTTATTTTGTGTACGTGGCGTGTACATGGTGTTGGTGCATGCGCAGGTTGCTGAGGTGTGAAAAGCAGTCTTCATCTCGAGTTCGTCATGTCCAGTTGTGTTTCGTCGTCGTATTAATGAACAGTCTTCTAAATGTAGTTATCGTCGACCATTGTACAAGTGTGAGATGGCACGGGCTGGGCGTTGGTGGAGAAAGTAAAGATATGCTATTGGTGGTAGCGATAGGATTCGAACCCACGTCTCCATCTTCCAATATTTTGCTGCTCCTAGAAATTAGTCAGTCCAGTAGTAGTAGTAGTAGTAGTATGATCCCAGTGCAACCAAGCAACACAACAGACACACAACAGAGTGAACAGACACAGAAGATACATCACCAGCAGAAGAGAAAGCCAGTTTACTTGAGGTATGAGAATACCCTCTCCCAGCACACGGGCTATTTATTCACCTGCCTGTGTTATCATGTGCGCACACACACACACACAGACACACACACACACACACACACACACACACACAGACACACACACACACACACGCATATACCGGTATAGCCCCTTCTTGCTACACAACTACCACTGTGACCCACCGACAAGTCCTCTCACATCGTCATGATCTACTCTGGTGATGGGGGGAGGGGGGGGGGGGGGGGTAATAATGGTCACCCCATGGGAAGTCCCAGACGCATCTCTGATCACATTGGTACCAGTCATACCAGTGTTTCACCATGCACTCAATGGTGCAATGTTTTTACTTCATTTAGCGGATTCAGATAAGTGGGAGTGACTATTGATTGGCGCTAAGTGTTACTCATGGCAATTACCAACACAGCACATCTGATCATTTTTGCTGATCAGCCTGATGTCTAAAAAAAGGTGGTACATGTAGATTTTATTATAGATTGTACAATATACGATACTGATAGAAATCCGACATAAACTTTTATGAGAGGCTGGTGTTTTGGCCAACATCGTACCTTCATGTTCAACTCGACGAGGTGGTCGCGGACTTCTTCCCGCCTTCACCTGTGTGAGCATTTCCTCGAGAGCATCTGCGGCTTCGCGATGCGCCCCGGCCTCTGATCCTCGCAAGCCTTCCAGGAAAGTATCCCAGGCCTTTGCTCCTTTCCGCGGAACAATGTCCAATAGCTCCCTGGTCTGCTCCTTGGGAGTAGGCTTCAGGGAAACCTTATCTTTTTCTGCGCTAGAAATAATTTCCTCGCTCAGCAAATAGTCCAGGACATAATCCTCAGGATTCAGCAAATCTAGCAGCTTCAGCTGGCACTTTGTCAAAGACTTCCTGTGATCCCTATCCATTGTTTGTTCTGCTCCTTCAACACAGTAAACACTAGAAAACTAGAAAGAAACAGCGTTCTAAAAAACAAGCTAGCCACTACGTCTGCGATCGAGCAATAATATGGCTACAAACTTCTTGCACCGGTTTACATGGTTTAGGTAGATCTACTGCACAGTCATGGTAAAGTCTAGACTAAAGACACTGACCATGCTGAGAGTGACACAAGTACAAGCTGTGTGTGTGGCTGCGTGCAGGTGCTAAGCCATCTAAATCACTAGTAGTGCCTACTATAGCTAGTATAGGTGTACTAGTGGCATCAGTCCGGGACTCGACTGCATACTACAGTCAACTTCGCTTATAACGACACTCGGCGGGGCATGAAAAAGGTGTCCTTATTCACGAAGTGTCGTTATACCCGAAGTCTCATTATATGTATTACAGTGGGATGGGACTTTGCTCTGGGCATGGAAATTCTGTCGTTATTCGCGAATTGTCGTTATATCCGATGTCGTTATTAGCGAAGTTGACTGTAGTATGCATGCATGCATAACTCGCAAGACCAGACCAGTCATGATTGTACTTGTAGTCAGTAGATCTACTGACTTTTCATGTTTGGCCCTTTGCCGCTTTGGGCCGGGTGAAACTTTGGCTTTGGCAGTTTGGGGCATCGGCTCCGCCACGGCGCCATGAGCAGAGTACTCTACTGACACATGATGAGTAGTTCTACTGACACAGAAACTCGGCGCATGCACATGATGCAGTAGATCTACGGAGCAGGTGTTGGTCTGACGCAAACCACGGTAAAGTTAGGTGAGTGTCCAATACAAGTCGACGTCAATAAAGCAATTGAACTGACGCATGGCAGGACGTGATGGAGGACTTTCCCCTCACTGCTTCACTACACTCTACTTAATTAATTGCTACTGTCAGTTTTAGCAACTGAGCCGCTAGGGACCATGTCCCCCATAACTGTCATAAGTAATTAGTTAGCGGCAGTGCAGCCTGACATGGCTTTTTATTTTGTAGGTAGAGTAGCATTAGCATTACAATCAAAAGACTAGTTTAGGTTCAAGGCTTGCAATCCAGGCCTGGTTTTCCTGCCGAAAACAGGTAAACTGGTCTTGCTACACACTGCCATCATAGCTGTAGCTACAATGCAGGTATGCATGCATTCCCGGGTTTGAGAATCACAATCATGCCGGCATGGCCATGCCATGCCCATGGTGCACGCTCCATGTATCAGGGCCAGGTGTACACAGGACCAGGGGGGGGATTCTATTCAGTCCCCGGATGCATAAGCTGATGGCATGATGAGTCATTGATGACCACGAATCATGATCATTGATCACAGCAAGGCGCTAGGCACTGGCTGAGTCTGGCTCACAGTCACCATGGTCACAGTCGACTATTCGAATAATTATATTAATTAATTATAGTCCCACACTGGGTACTGAGACTATACAGTCATGTACTGTAAAGCGATAAACTTTTGCGGCGCGCAAAGTTTGCGTTTTCAAAAATTGTGCCGGTTCACGACGAGAAACTTTCGCGATGTAATCTCTTCAATTGGATCTTCTACATCAATGCACACAGCAGTTTGCGGTGCTTTATGTTCGTGAAGGTGTGATGGTAGCGAAAATAGCGAAATTTAATCTTTAGCGAAAATTTCTCACTTGACACTCGTACATGCCATTGTAGATGACTGTAGTTACTTGGTCGGGGATCAGCAGGGAAGAGATATGGCGTCCACAATGACAGCTATCTGCTGCTGCCAACAGCGCCATCATTGACAGAAAACAGACGTTGCTTTGATAGTTGGCCAGCTCCAAGCTGAAAGCTGACAAGTCTGCCATGAGGAGGACGCTGCATGCATTGCACACTGAGTCATGATCACATGCCACTTCACTGAAGAAGGCAGTGATGTGCAGGGTGTCGGATATGCGGGGTGTCGGATATGCGGGGTGTGGGATATGCGGGGTGTGGGATATGCAGGGTGTCGGATATGCGGGGTGTCGGATATGCGGGGTGTGGGATATGCGGGGTGTCGGATATGCGGGGTGTCGGATATGCGGGGTGTGGGATATACGGGGTTTCGGATATGCGGGGTGTGGGATATGCGGGGTGTCGGATATGCGGGGTGTGGGATATGCTGGGTGTGGGATATGCGGGGTGTGGGATATGCGGGGTGTCGGATATGCAGGGTGTCGGATATGCGGGGTGTCGGATATGCAGGGTGTCGGATATGCGGGGTGTGGGATATGCGGGGTGTGGGATATGCAGGGTGTCGGATATGCGGGGTGTGGGATATGCTGGGTGTCGGATATGCGGAATGTCGGATATGCGGGGTGTGGGATATGCGGGGTGTCGGATATGCGGGGTGTGGGATATGCGGGGTGTGGGATATGCGGGGTGTGGGATATGCGGGGTGTGGGATATGCGGGGTGTCGGATATGCGGGGTGTCGGATATGCGGGGTGTGGGATATGCGGGGTGTGGGATATGCAGGGTGTCGGATATGCGGGGTGTCGGATATGCGGGGTGTGGGATATGCGGGGTGTGGGATATGCGGGGTGTCGGATATGCGGGGTGTGGGATATGCGGGGTGTCGGATATGCTGGGTGTCGGATATGCGGGGTGTGGGATATGCTGGGTGTCGGATATGCGGAATGTCGGATATGCGGGGTGTGGGATATGCGGGGTGTCGGATATGCGGGGTGTGGGATATGAGGTGTGTGGGATATGCAGGGTGTGGGATATGCGGGGTGTGGGATATGAGGGGTGTGGGATATGCAGGGTGTGGGATATGCGGGGTGCTTGGAAACGACAGTATACATGTATCCCCATAGTCATGTAAATGTAGCTGTGTATTACACTAGTCACTATGATAAACCACACACACACACACACACACACACACACACACACACACACACACACACACACACACACACACGCACGCATGCACACACACACACACACGCACGCACGCATGCACACGCGCACGCATGCACACGCACACACACACACGCGCGCACGCACACACACACACACACACACACACACACACACACACACACACCACACACACACACACCTCACCTCAGACCTCAGACCTGCCCATCGTGGAAGCAATGATAGTGAACAGCTATGTTAGACATAGCAACACACACACACACACACACACACACACACACACACACACACACACACACACACACACACTCCATTTACCATTTGACGCCCATCGCCAGAGGCGATGATAGCGATGCTACAGCAGAAGCCATAGCAACACACACACACACCACACACACACACACACACACACACACACACACACACACACACACACACACACACACACACACACTCACACCTGTCCTGTCCTGTCCTGTTGAGCCACTGCCATGAAGGTTACGTGGGCCCCGGAGGGGCAGCTGAGACACACACATACACACACACACACACACACACACACACAAGGAGAGAGGAGCTGTGCCTCCAAGATCAGGCAACTAGTTGGTCAAGCCGTGTCGGAGCACGAACATCATCAAACCAAATACATGCTTCAGACTGTATAGCCTTGTGATGATGTCATCGTTGTGTACTTAGAGCACTAACTGTAGCATGGGTTGGCCAGTAGACAGAGAGTATCTTTCTTCAAATCCTAGCGCAGCCTAACGTTATTACCCCCCCCCCCCCCTTGCACGTTGTACATTGACGCGTGGCCTCGTACAATGCCTACCCGACTGTGTGGCCCAACACTCTATAGAGGTTACTATTGCTAGTATGCCGGATTACATCATCAGTTGCCAAGATGTTTCGGTAAAGTCTCGGGACTCTCGGCCCGGCGATGCACTAGCGACTCCCGCTGTTTACATAGCGCCCATAAGCGGTTCCGCTAACTCATCAACATGCTATCATTTGTATAACACGGACCATAAGCGATTCCGCTGAATACACATCACTCACGACATGACATCACTCACGACATGACATCACTCACGACATGACATCACTCACGACATGACATCACTCACGACATGACATCACTCACGACATGACATCACTCATGACATGACATCACTCACGACATGACATCACTCACATAACCCATGTAGATGTACAGTGTGTATGTGAATAGCCAGACTAGAGTAAAGTGATTGGTACATGCATACGTAGTGCAAGTTCCTCCAAACATGTCGGCCCTTTACATGTACATTGTAGATGTACATGTACGTAAATGCCATGGCATTAAAGCTACGTCAGTGATACGTTTTATACAGTACCAAGGTACATAACCCAAAGAGTATGGCTCTTTGGGTTATGTACATGTACCTTCGGGCAACTCTGCACATGGGGTCTGGCGCGGCGTGCTGCCCGCACTACGTAGCCCCAAACGGTGGGATGTTGCGGCATTATTGATCAGTCCACTACGGTTTCCTGCGTCCAAATCCGCTTTCCTCGGAGACTTCGGGTGGTTTTCAAAGTGCGGCTTATCGTGACTTCGGAAAATTAGGGCTGAAACGAATCCTCAATGAAGCGAACAAATATCCTTTTTCCGAATATGTGCGAAACGAAGAATATTCCGAATATTCTAAACCATACAATTATTTCCATGGATACCTAGTTTTATCCATGGTAACCACGGACCATTAACTGACATACACCCCAATTACAAGAGAGACATTTGAAAAATCATTTGTCTTGCTGATTATAACACATCGAAAGAGGCAAGCCTACTTATATTTTGCACCAAATAAGCTTGATCAATGTCAAAATCTTGAAAACAGAAATAGTCTTTCTCCCTCAAATAGACCACCCTCCTACATTTACCCTTCCCGGACTTGATTCGGCTATTAATATTACTATTGTAGATACGCACAGGCATTTGGGTGTTGTATTTGACTCGCAATTGTCCTGGAATTCTCACGTAGATTTTGTATGCAACAAAGTTAGCAAATCTGTAGGTTGCCTGATGTCTCACTGCTCCCACTTGTCTCCCGAATGTATTCGTCTCTTTTATAAATGCTACCTCCTTCCTATCTTTCTGTATGGCGCCACTGCTTGGCATTCCCTGCTTAGTAAATCTGCTGTACAGACACTAGAAATACATCATAAACGTGTGTTGAACATTATTTTTCGTAAACCCACTCTTTTCCCCTCTACTGATCTATATAGTTTGGCCTCCACCAGCCCCATCTCTATCCTGTCGCAGAGACAGTCATGCGTTCTGGTCCATCGTATTAAACTGAACATTGTCCCTGAACATCTCACCAAGTATAATTGGTTTACTTTCGCACGGGACACTCGCAATGGCATAGTACTTCCCAGAGCTTTGTCAACTATGTTTACCAAATCTCCTATCTTCTCTGCATACTCGTATTGGCTCAAGCTGCCCATGGAAATGAAGACAATATCCAATATTAGACAGTTCATAGACCATGTTAAATGTCATGCCACGTTGTAGGCTCGCTCGCCTCTTTTGCTAGCTTATCTCGCCGCTCTCCACCCTGGTCAACATAGTGATACATTTCACCCCCTGATGCATTATTTTCTTCCGATTATCATCTTCTTTCCTTCATTCTTTCTTCTTTTTTTCTTCTTCTCTTGCTATGGCTGGCTAACGCCCCCTCCTTTGCATTGGCTTCTGCCATTGGACGGTGAAATAATAATAATAATAATAATAATAATAATAAAAAGGTGAGTTTCTGTACATTTACGAATATTCCTATTCTACTTTAAAACGAAGAATATTCTTTTTCCGCCTTGCATATTTCGAATATTCCTTTCAGCCCTACGGAAATACGGTAATGAATGCAGCTGGTGCCGCTGCAGGGCACCCATAGCTGGGAGATCAGAGCTGCACACTCTTGGGGTTGTGTACTCTTGACGCATGTGGCCGCTTCACTGTATTCATTCGTCCACACCGCAATCCACAATGCAACTCGGGGTGCAGTTCTCCGCGGGGCCTCCAGGTGATCAGCCAGCTCCATGCTAGCAGACTTATTTCCAATATAGTTGATTCAGTAATCTGGCCTGAGTCAAGCGCAATGCAGTGTGCAAGCGCTCCAGTCAATCTGTGTTCATGGCAGATTGAAACTCAATCCGTTCAACCCATTATTAAGCTGGGCATTGCTCCTCTTCATGCTCTCTCCTGCCTAAGCTGGTTTGCTCAATCTCAAGACATGCGCACCAGAAACTCTCTCTGCTTCCCTATTGCGCGGTCTGCCTCTATGCAAACATCTCCTCTCTTCCTTGCTTACCGCCATTGTTTTCTCCTCCCACAACATCTAAAATCCTGCCAATGTTACAATACATTCACACAGCTACTGCAGAATGCAACATACTAGTTGATATCCAGCCCTGCCCTAGCTTCTCCTGCTTTTCAGTTCCCCTTTCGTTCTTTTTCTTTCTCCCCTCTAGCTCTATTACCGCCATGGCTGGCTATCGCCCACATCACCATTTCATTGGCTAGTGCCACGTGATTGTGAATAAATAAATAAATAACCCAGATCGAACTCAATCCGGGTCGAAGTCAATCCGGGTCGAAAACTCCCGTATAACCCAGACCTATCAGTTTTGCATTTTGTCCGCTTGGCTTGTGTTTTTTTTGAAGTTCTTGAACTTCCAAGCCAAGGAAAAGGACAAGATAAAACAGATACTTCCCATTCTTCAGTGCATAACTTCACTGCACTGAGCATAAACAAATCACGGTTACTTGTGAGTAACTTACTTGTTAAAGGGGAAGTATACCCTAAAATCAAATTTTCACCAGTTGTAGTCTTCGGGGTGCTGAGTCGAATGGTCTTGGTCCGAGGAAGCTGAGACGCTCCCTTCCTCCTTTATTCCCAATCGAACTCGCGCACTTCCACCGAAACTGGGTGACTGCGCCCTACTAGATGGGGATTTGTATGCAAAATGTCACTAAAAGCGCCATTTCGTTCTTATAAAAGCACGGATGACCGGCCCATATGCTGTAGTCTTTTGGACGCTGAGTCGACTGGTTTTGGTCCGAAAAGGCTGCGATGCAGCGTTCCTCCTTTATTCCCAATCGAACATGGTTGAACAAGCGGTCACGTGCTCCTGCGTACACCAGTCACCTGGCCACCGTGCCTGCAGGCTACAACTTACTAGCCTGTGTGACCTTTTTTGGGTGCAGTCCTGTCACTCGAGTTGAACATATGGGCCAATCGCGGTCATCCGTGCTTTTATAAGAACGACATGGCGCTTTTAGTGACATTTTGCATACAAATCCCCATCTAGTAGGGCCCAGTCACCCAGTTTCGGTGGAAGTGCGCGAGTTTGATTGGGAAGAAAGAAGGAAGGGAGCGTCGCAGCTTCCTCGGACCAAGACCATTCGACTCAGCACCCCGAAGACTACAACTGGTGAGACCCTCCCTTCCTACTTTAATCCCAATCGAACTCGCGCACTTCCACCGAAACTGGGTGACTGCGCCCTACTAGATGGGGATTTGTATGCAAAATGTCACTAAAAGCGCCATTTCGTTCTTTAAAAAGCACTAGGGTGAACGATTAGTTCGAATATTCGAGTATTTGTTCGAAAATTTCAAACGAGCGAGTATTCGAAATTTTGCACTCGATGGTTGTTTTTTTTTTAGTAGTGGCATTCTATTTTTCAAAAACTTCTGTTGTACCGCTCACCAACTGGTATGCATGCGTTATACCTGCCTTTGAGTCAGTATCTTACGACTTGGACGATGCGATCACCACAGCAAGTACCGTTAGTTTGTTATGAGATAATGAAAGTACTGATGAAAATCGTTACTTTACACCCTCTACAAGACGTTGACGACTTTTGTTCTAAGTTCACAGATAATTTCTTCCGAATTGGTCGAGAACTCACAAATCTAGCGCTTTTGAATTTTGATAAAATACTCGAAATATTCGGATACTCGATCGAATATTATGAATGAGTGATCGATTGGTCAAAATAGATACTTGTTTCACCCCTAAAAAGCACGGATGACTGCGATTGGCCCATATGTTGTAGTCTTTTGGACGCTGAGTCGACTGGTTTTGGTCCGAGAAAGCTGCGATGCAGCGTTCCTCCTTTATTCCCAATCGAACATGGTTGAACAAGCGGTCACGTGCTCCTGCCCGTGCCCAAATCACCTGGTCACCGCGCCAGCAGGCGACAACTTTCACACCAAGGTTCAACTCGAGTTCAACTCGAGTGACAGGCCTGCAACCAAAAAAGGTCAAACAGGCTGTAAGTTGTACCCTGCAGGCACGGTGACCAGGTGACTGGTGTATGCAGGAGCACGTGACTGAGGGCCCGGTGTAATATGCCCGAAACTTTGCCGAGAATGCTTTTGGGGAATTCTCGTAAACCTTGCCGAAAATGCTCCCAAACCTTGCCGAAAATGCTCGGAAAATGCTCACTTTTTGTAATCCTCAGCACACGCCGTCAAAACCAGGGAGTCAGAAAATACTCAATGAGAGACTTGCTCGAATCTGCCATGGTGAACAATTCATAAACTACTCAACAAGAAGCTAACCCACGGAATGCGGAAGTGACGTTCTTGTTTGGGAAGTTTTTCTTCTCTCAATTTTGATACACAACGGCCAAGTGCTCCGTTTCCCCCAAAATGCTGCATCACGAGCCCAAAGTGCTGGGTTCGCGGATTGTACCGAAAATGCTAAAAAAAATGCCGGCATATTACACGGGGGCCTACACGTGACCACTTGTTCAACCATGTTCGATTGGGAATGAGGGCCGAACGCTGCATCGCAGCCTTTTCGGACCAAAACCAGTCGACTCAGCGTCCAAAAGACTACAACATATGGGCCAATCGCGGTCATCCGTGCTTTTATAAGAACGAAACGGCGCTTTTAGTGACATTTTGCATACAAATCTCCATCTAGTAGGGCGCAGTCACCCGGTTTCGGTGGAAGTGCGCGAGTTCGATTGGGATTCAAGTAGGAAGGGAGCGTCTCAGCTTTCTCGGACCAAGACCATTCGACTCAGCACCCCGAAGACTACAACTGGTGAATTTTTATTTTTTGCCTTAACTTCCCCTTTAATAATTATGTTACGGAGATGTATCCCCTCAGTACAGGTTGAAGTCAGAAAATCACTAACTTCAAGTAAGTTTCCTTTTTCCCCCTTTTTTTACTTGCAGTCTACTCGATCGAGTCATAATCATAATAATCATGATAATACGCACATGATCAGTGATGAGCTCAGCTTAAACTGTTTGATTGAGCTGACTCGACATGTCTTTTAGGACTTATTTGAGCCCGGCCTTCCTGCGTCTACATGCAGACATGAGTCATGACATGATGTCGCCGGCTAGGCTAGCTAGGTACGCATGCAGAACAATGCATACAGACTGTCATGTCATGTAAATCATTAATTTTTACGCATGTCACGACTTTCTTGCACAAGTACTGAAGTGAACTATTATTACAATAGTATTAGTACTACCACGTACTTGAAGGAAGAAGCGTTCCGTCTGTTATGTATTGGTATGGTGTGTCGATCATTTTTACAGACCATAAACACTACTCTGATACGAGGCACTGGCACTCACCGTAAATTCAGCATTTGCCGACTGGCTAAAGAGCCACACTCCGCCACTGTAGTAGTGGCTTGCTACGGTGTTTTGCGCCGTCGCTCCCTAGCCTCGCTGAGTGGCAAACTATCTTGGATCGAGAGTCCGGATCGATAAAGTCTGGAGAACCTACTAAATCCTCAACAGTAGAAGCAGTCTAAATCAGTTATCCTGCCAAATCGACACGAGATGGATAGGCAACATACACAGGTACTGAGAAAACGGCGCTTGGAGCTGCTGGATATTAGCCCGTCGGATAATGTGCTCGACGGTTTACTGAGCCTGGGCATACTTGCGCAGAACGAATATGACGATATCAATCATCACCACACAGCCAAGAAACAGGCACAGATGCTGCTGGGTATCGTACCGCGCAAGGGCAAACGGGCATTTGCTGCTCTGATCGAGTCGCTGGAAGGCTCCGATTCTGAGGCGCATCACGACTTGGCTGAAATGCTACGGAACGATGCGGCTGCTGTCAATGCCCCTATTGAAACAGGTCAGCCTCGGATTACTTACCAGGCATGGCCCCAGTTTAGCATTTAGGCAGTGGGAACTTTGGGATAGAAGGTCCCTGGTTTGAGTCCTGGTGGCGACAGTCAATGTTCTCTTCAATCTTTTCCCTTTTCCATTCCCTCAACTAGTGAACAGTATGTTGGGATAGGATCAACATAGTCATGTTGGGATAGGATCAACATAGTCATGTTGGGATAGGATCAACATAGTCATGTTGGGATAGGATCAACATAGTCATGTTGGGATAGGATCAACATAGCTAGAGTCATGTTGGGATAGGATCAACATAGTCATGTTGGGATAGGATCAACATAGTCATTTCTGAACCCACAACCTTTTGTGCGTTGAATCAAACGGTCTTGGTCGAAGGAAGCTAATACTGCACCGTTCTTCCGATATGCCACTATTTATCGGTTGCCATGTGTCCCGTAATTCCAGATAGCCGGGTGTAGAAGCGTGCCACCGAGAACCGCCCAATGCGTATGTCAGTGCGAGAATGACAGACTTTGGAGCGGCGTGCAATTGGGGAGCGTATCTTCTGGAGGCCAAACCCATTAGACTGAATAACTTAGTTAGCACGCTGCACAGCTCCTGGTAATGTGATCAGTTGTTTTGGAGAAGTCGTGGACATCGCTGCGTTTGCAGCCCGTATATGCAGCATGTTAATGGACCTGTCCTGCAGTCGTGCTTTGCATCATTATGGCATCGTTATGACATCATTATGACATCATTGACTATGGCCATACATAGGTTGTACGAATACTCTGGATTCTATTTCCACGTGTTGCTCTGTTATATAATACAGTCGTCCCTCTCTAATCCGGCACTTGTTTATCCGGAACCCTTGCCAACCGGCGCACTTTCTGATGAAACCGATTTTTTTTGTTCAATTCCTACATCTTAATCCGGCACTTGAATTCCGCCTCCGGCAGTGACTTTTTGAAACGAATCGCTCAAACTGCACGTAGTTTGATTTCATAATCCGGCAGTCCTAGGGTTCCCAGTAAAAAGGCAACGCCTGTTGGGAGTTCCCTAGTAAAATAATAAATTCTACTACTACTACTAGTCGTAAATCGACTGTGCGTGTGTGTGCAAGAGTACGTATACATGTGAACATGTTCTCTGTTTTACTTTATCACTGTGTATATTCCTGGAGAAAAGTTAATATAAAGCCGTGCACCAAATACTGGGGTCGACACGGAAAAACCCTGCGTTTTGACGTATGATACATGCATGTAATTGGGTAGGGCCGGGTCAGAGGGCAGGATTTCTTAATCCAGCACCCTCGTTAATCCAGCAGAAAATGCCGTAGCAAAAGGTGCCGGATTAGAGAGGGACGACTATATATTATATATATATGTGTGTGTGTGTGTGTGTGTGTGTGTGTGTGTGTGTGTGTGTGTGTGTGTGTGTGTGTGTGTGTGTGTGTGTGTGCCCAATGCTCCTAGATGGGCCAGCGCCGTTGAAACCATCTACTGGATCGTCCTCATCAAAACCAGCTGCTGCGTCAGCATCGGCGTCCGCAGCTGCTGATGGTGGCGCCCCGTCATTCCATAGTATGACGAGCCATGCAGACACAAGCCCGCCGGAGGATACATACACAATAGTGGCAGCACCATCAAGTGTAAGAACAGAGTCATCCAAACAACCAGTCACCAATGAGCAGTTGCATGAATATAACTAGCCCCCTGACTTGGCGTGTTGTTCAGACATGCCCCCCGGCATGGTTGATTGTAATGTTTAGTGACGACAGGTCGACTGTTCTTGCCCAGTGTTTGTCAGCTATCCATCTCGTCCTGTTGAAATTGTGATTGCCACACTCATTCTGTTGAAACTGTGATTGCCACATGCACTTGACTGGTGGGATTAGACAAGTCAGGCAGGCTAGCGAAGGATAAGGATACATATTGGAACTAGATACTTAATTCTGGCCCTTTCCTATGTGCTGACCTGTGGCCTTTCTCCTGTGCAGGTGGGCATGATCGTCGGCGGTGGTGGCACGGCTGAAGACCAGGAGGATTTTGATCTGATCTACCCGATGGCACACTCCAAGCACGGCCTGGCGCTGATCATCAACAACAGGAACTTCACGTGCGGAATGAAGGACCGCGCTGGCTCGGACGTGGACGCAAAGGCCCTGGCGTCGACGTACAAACATCTGGGATTCACCGTGCACACCCTCACCAACCAGACTGGTATGCACAGTGATACAGCTGATGATCTACTAAAGCCATCATGTCACATTTTGATTGAAATTAACGATGAACGGTTTATACCTGACAATAGAATATTAGGTAGCTACAGGCGTGTTCTGCTGTTCATGCCATTCAGTTGGTAGACAGGTAGTGAGGTGGGCTGGGATCAAATGCTGCTTGTGGGCTCCGGGAAAAGAAAAAAGGAATCAGCGCTCTCACGTATCCATCAGTTAAGCAAGTTGAAAAGGGGAAAGTATCCAGCTTTCATAAAATGACGATCTGTGATTCCACGCGGCATATGCTGTTTGACCAGGACAGAGAACAAGTGAAACATCCCAGAGTGGTACACAGTAGCAAAGTTAGTGACTTTTACAATGCATTTCCAGACGTTTGGTTGTCCTAAGCAACATCGCCGGTACTAGTAGATAAAGGAAGAACGGTGTTGACGCAAAGGATGAAGGCTCATTACTCCCAGCATAGATATTCTCTGACGGGAATTCCGAACTATTCCGTTTAAGAATATTTCCTTGAAATTAATCCTTGCTGGGGTTTTTCATCTAAATGTCCAGCTATTAACTGCAGAGGTGATTTCTTCTCTCGTCGATTTCTTTCCTGCTTTTATACCTCGATATTTAGGTACTTGTTTCCCTTCTTCCCATGCTTCATCTTCCACTCTCCTCTCCCCCATTTCCCCATTTTCTTGCTCTATGTATATAGGAGACTTCCATGATAAGCATCCATTTGCTTTTGGAGAATCCGTTTAAATAAATACAATACAATACAATGAGTCGGGAAGTGAACTGCCTGAAAAGAGAAGAAAACGCCAACCCCATGCAGGACTCGAACCCGCGACCTTGATTGTCTTGAGCAATGCTCTAATTATCTGAGTAATGGGACCAGGCCGAACCTAGACTAATCCTTTGAATTTGAAGTTCTCCCAATACTGTCAAAATGTTGACACAGATGATCATACTTGTAACACATTGTTTGTACTCTGTACTTCTATGACCGTACAGGGCAGCAGATCCGTGACAATCTCTATTCGCTGGCCACGCATAACCATACGAACTATGACGCCGTAATCATAACGATTCTCAGCCATGGCCTCGAAGGCAAGCTCTACGGCACTGACGGTGATTTGGTGGAAGTGTCACAAATCACGTCCTACTACAAAGGTGACGTGGCCACCACACTTGTGGGCAAACCGAAGATCTTCATCCTGCAAGCATGTCGAGGTGCAACGTTTGATGCTGGTCTCGAGTCTACGGATAGCCCAGCAGATTCGTCGGCGACTGATGAATCTCAACTCACCGATGAAGAAGTATTTCGGAAGTTCCTCGACTCCGTGCCGGCGAATTCGAAAAGCCCGGAAGAAGAGACGGATGGTCACTTGGGGTCGCTTCCGGTCGAGGCGGACATGCTGATAGCGTATGCCACTGTGCCTGGTTATGTGTCATGGAGGAATAGCGAACGTGGCTCATGGTTCATCCAGGCCTTGGTTAAGGTGAGGGTAACTGGGTCATGCGTGGTGCAGCATACTGGTAGTCCACACCTATAATGTGTCTGATTTGTAGAAACGTTGCGGTGATTGGACAGTGACTTTACCTGCTACCTACTCTTAGGCCATTCATCAAGGTGATCACATGATGTATGCACCATTTTCAGTGGAGTCAAGAATATCATGTGTACAAGGCAGGTTTTTAAGAAGCTGCCTGAAAACTGTTCCTAAAAAGAACATGAAAAACCCTTTGGTCTTCGGTACATGTGTATTTGGACTGAGAGGGGGGGGGGGGGGGATTGTGCTCTGTTCTATTTGACACTTTACCGCTGCTACATAGTCACAGTTGATGTTGTTCTTTGTCATCTCGTTGCATCAGTGACTGCTAACCATGACTCTCTACCACACTGTACGCACTGTGTTGTTATGTTGATGTGGTCTTCTTGCGACCATGGCGTGCAGGTACTCAATGAGCGTGCCAAGAAAGAGCACTTGATGGACATGCTGATAATGGTCAATCACCTTGTGGCTACCGAGTTCCAATCCAAGGGACGGCAGAAGCAGATGCCTGCGCCCGTGTCTCAACTCCGGAAGAAGCTCTTCTTCACCTAAGCGGCTTGTGGTAGAGTGAGTACACGGTGGCAATCATGAGTGCACATGACCTGTCAATCGGTATACGTGAGTTGAGTCTGCTGCCACTACTGCGTGTGTGTGCGGGCCACAGTGGTGGCTAGTGAACTATAATTTTAGGTTAATTTTTACTAGGCTTTCCGCCGATTTACATTTACTCTTTACGATGGCAAGCTGCCAGGAGAACTTTTCAATGGCGTACATTTTGATCCGATCTGTTATCTGCTGGTTGATCCGGTTTTCAATTGTTTCCTATTTTATTGTTCCAAATTAGTGCGATATTTGTACCTTTGCTTCGGGATATATGCTGAGATAGTTGTGAACATTGATGGCGTGTGAAAACATGAGGAGAACTGGTGGAAATGTGTGGACTGTGAGCAGTTTTTGAGCGACTCGTTGTGCTGGACAGGACCACTCTGCTCGGCTACACTGACTTTTGCTCTCACTAGTGTCTGTAGTGCCGAACTGTGGATAATTGCTTTGCCTGTAGTGTAGCTACAAGAGCTATAAGAATTGATCAGGGCTCTTCTTTTCAGTTGTGCTGTAAACATGTTACACGGAGCATTTTCCGATTTGCACATACATATGTTTGCAACTTGCAAGTGTACAATTCAAGTTCAGGTTTTCTGCACAAAGTTTTAAAAAAATGGCGCAATGATTTCTTCGCAGTGATTCGACTCTACTGCTTTTAAAGCTTTGACGTACTGTTATAATAATAATAATTATAATGATTCCTGAACTGTGCTGCCTTTTTCCCAGGCATGTTTTGATGGTATTCTGTGCTACTACTCCGGCTTTTTTTCTCTTTTTGAACAGGCGGTTTTTTAGGAGTGTGCACGGGTAGTCGGGTGCCCATGCTTCCCATGAGGACCTCGGGTAGGCGGGTACAGAATAGTACCCGAAAACCCGAAGTCGCAGATAACATCATGTACAGTGCGCACGTGTACGAATTCATGTAATACTCCGCATGTGTACTCAGTGTGTATTGAAGGGGTGCATTGTGGTTTTACCATGGAAACATTACCCGATCGGGTGCTACCCGTGGAAAACTGCCCGAGCCCGATACCCGAAGAAAATGCTACCTGACTCAGCACTACAGAAACATCTTTTTGTACTACCAAACACAGCCCTACGCATATGCGTACTTCAGTAATATCAAGGAGAGTGGACAGTAGAAGTGACAAGACAAACAAAACTAAGGGAAGTGGGGGTGATGTGCCAATCTGGGGCTGACGGAAGCTCATCCGACCAGACGTCTCTTGTACAGTGCTTTTGTTGTTGTTGTTGTTGTTGTTGTTGTTGTTGTTGTTGTTGTTGTTGTCGTCGTTGTTGTTGTTGTTGTTGGTGTTGGTGTTGGTGTTGTTGTTGTTGGTGGTGTTGTTGTTGTTGTTGTTGTTGTTGTTGTTGTTGTTGTTGTTGTTGTTGTTGTTGTTGTTGTTGTTGTTGAATTCTTTATTCTCACGATGGCACCATCGCCAATAAGAGAGTTGTTGTTGTTGTTGTTGTTGGTGTTGGTGTTTGAAATCTTTTTTTTCACGATCGCCTGTGGCCAATAAGAGAAATTGTTGCTGTTGTTGTTGTTGTTGTTGTTGTTGTTGCTGTTGTTGTTGCTGTTGTTGTTGTTGTTGTTGTTGTTGTTGTTGTTGTTGTTGTTGTTGTTGTTGTTGTTGTTGTTGTTGTTGTTGTTGTTGTTGTTGTTTATTTATTTATTTTACATCGCATGGCAAACCGGCAGTTCTGACCAAGATTATGTGTGAAGCATGTCAGAAACTGCCCATCCGCCGTGGCATGCACACTGGGGAAAGGGACTGGAACGAGGCAAGAAGAAACCTCGTCATTTCCGAAATTGCAACACAAATAAATAAATACAGGCGGGCAAAACTTACAGATCACTGGGCATACCTTTTCGACAGGGCACAGAACTGGGCGTGGCCGGGCTACTTGTCGACTTGAGTATTGCCTTACAGCTTACTATTGCATGCCATTGGTAGATCTACGACTCGTCCTGTACAGACCGCCGATGCTGCAACTAAGTGCAAGCAGCCTCCGGACTCGAGCTCCTGTAGTTATTGACAGCTGTACTTCTGTGACTACACCGTAGATCTACACGTGTTCGAGAGTGAGAGACGTCCTAGCCTATGTAGGCCTATTAGGATAGTATCCTATCAAGTACAAGGAACTGTGCACGTGAGAATGAGTGGAGAGACATTTTCAAAAACTGGGCACCATGATCGAGTGCACCTGGATCATGTGCTAGCCTACACTAGTAGTAGTCTACCTCCAAACTGGCCATTCGAAAGGTTTTCTTTTCAAACACGTCGCTACTGTTCAAAGGCAACGCGGTAAGTCAGATCGCCTCTGCTTCCCATTCTCATTGTTCTAGTACTTGTTCGCCTTCCGGTCTACCATGGTCTACGGAGGAGAGACCAAAGCCAAACTAACTAAACCCCATGTGCATGTGTGACCGGCCCCTTAGACGTAACTTATAATAATTATTATAATTATTATAAGTAATTAGAATCAACTCGTAAAAACTCCAAGTCAATCTCCCATTGACACAAACCTCGTTTATTGAACATAATCATATCCTATCCAATAAAAACAGTTCATAAAAACAGTTCATAAAAACAGTTCATAAGGGGCCGTCCGTAAATATCGATGTTTTTTTAGAGACGATATTGGTGCTTCTCTCCCTTGACCCCCCTCCCTCCCCCCAGAAGACGCACATGTACATCTAGATCATGGAATCAATATTTTTGGATGCTCATGAAGTGCCCAGGATGTTGAGGGTCCGGTGTAGGCGTGAAAATCCCGCCGCACTCACGCAATAGCTGCATCGCCTGGGGGGAGCGAACCGGGTTGGCGCTGCAGTGCTCGCAGCCATCGTCTACTGGTGTAGCCAAAGCGGCTACGCTCGGGCTTGAATTTTTTCAAATCCTTGTTCAGACAGTGAAGACTGGAAACTCTTGTGGAGTTCGTCCGTGTTTGTTCGCACTGCCTCTACGTCTTGAAAAAGGTCTCCTGCAGGCATCGTTCGGCCGATTTCCACAAGCTCATTCTTTTGCTCTTGAAATTCGCCATGGGCGTACAGCTTCCAATTTTTGATTTTGTTCTTGTGTCGCGAGTTTTAGCTCCGCGAACGGAAGCTGGTTTCACATTTCTTGTATAGCCATTTAGACGTCCGCGTGCAGGGATCGGCGAAACTTCAGATATTTACATCGATATTTTTCTGATGCTCGAAAAGACGCACATGGCTCAAACCCCCTCCCCCCCAGACGCACCAATATCGTCTCTAAAAAAACATCGATATTTACGGACGGCCCCTAAAAACAGTTCATAAAAACAGCTTTTTAGGATCGGACCCAATCCGCATAACCAAGAGAGCTAGCTCCCTTGGCTGCTGTTGGTAGGGCTTGAAAGTGCTACGTCACAGCATAGCACAGCATAGCAACAATTTCAAAAATTGGATCCACTTGGATCCAGTTTTTGTATGGATCCAAGCACATTTCAAGCCGTCTTACTCACAGCAAGGTGATGTAACCAGTGAAACTGACTGATTTGGCTGCTGGGGGCGGGGTTACAACTGGTGGCGAAGTAAAAGTCACCCCTGCATACGACATGAGTGGGTTGCTATGCACCCACATACTGAGGCAATAGCAAAGTCACACCTTAGTGGATCCAAAATAGAAATCTGATGTCAACTTAGTACTCCCTGGCCGTTTTTGACGTCATCACTTTCAAGCCCTATATGCAAGAATGGGCCTTCCAGATAAGGTCTAACAAGGAGCAGTGGCTATAGTTATGAAATGAACACCGGTAACCATGGAGACAGACCACACTCTCATTATAGATACTAATTATAGACTGAATAAGGAAAATGATCTGATAGCCTATGAAGACTAAAAGAAATTGAACCAATGACAACAAATACTCGTCCAGCACACGGGTTGTCATAGCAACACAAATAACAGCTGTCCGCTAATTTTGTTGTTGGAGATTGAGTAGGAGTTTTTACTGGTTGATTCTAGACTAAATACAATAAATGCTCCGGCCTTGGGTTTATGACCAATAAAAACTAATTATAAAAACCTCGGGGGACCTCGGTTTTTATAATAGTTTTTATTGGTCATAAACCCTCGGCCTCCTCATTTATTGTATACATAATATTAGTCATAAGTATTAGTTATAATTTTATAGTGTTTGGAGAAGTCGAGTTGTTGTAAACGTGAGGTACCTAAAAGTGAGATACCAGAACGGTTTCCCGGCCGTAGTGCTGAGTAGCATCACGAGCTGGGTCTGTTGTCCGGGATTCAGCCGCTATCGTGCGACGTGCAAGATGAGAACGTTTGTACTGGCACTACTACTGGGGTCAGTGCTGAGTTACTTGGGCCTGTTTGTAGCGGTGTCCCTGTACGATACGTTTGATCCGAATGTGGACTTGAAGGACAAACGAGTCATCGTGTGCGGAGCATCGACTGGTATTGGTGAGCAGATTGCCTATCTTTACGCCCGGGCTGGTGCAAGACTAGTGCTGGTTTCTCGCAGACTGCAAGTTCTACAGACAGTGCAGGCGAAATGTCGTGACCTGGGAGCAGCACAAGTGGAAGTGTTTGCCGGGGATCTTTCCTTGAAGAATACCAGCAAAGATGTGATTGAATATTCTGAGGAGAAGTTGGGAGGAATTGATCATTTGATACTGAACCATGCCATATTCTATTACCAGTTGTGGACAAATAACTCTGACCTGGATTATGCCACAAAATTGATTCAAGTCGATCTCTTGAGCTACATCTATTTGACAACGTACTCACTGCCTGCACTGGAGAGAAGTCATGGATCAGTGGTGGCTGTATCATCGGCAGCCGGCCTTTGGCCATCACCTCTGAATCACGTGTACTCGGCATCAAAGTTCGGCCTGCACGGCTTCTTCGGGTCGCTACGACAAGATCTGATGATTCAGAAGTCGAACGTGTCCATCTCGATGGTTCCACTGGGTTTGTTTGGCTCTGACACTATCCGTGAGTTCACAAAGAGTACTCTACCGGACAGTGCCAAGAACTACGGGGACCCCGCCAACGCTGCACATGCCATCGCCAGGGCTGCTGGGCTACGACTCAGAGAGGCCCACTGCCCCTACTTCGACACCAAGTTCCTGCAATGGGTTTACATGCTCTTCCCAAGCACAATGGACAAGTACATGGCGTTTCTCTTCCAGCACAATGCTTAAATGTGGACACACAACTAGCCGAATACTAGTAATTAAAGAAATGCTTTGCTGGTTAAATGTGTTTATGGGTAACATGCGTCTTCTTGAAACGGAAGAGACATGATCCGTGATCACCATGACGTAATGAACTAGCTGCACATTTCAACAATTGGCAACTACTCCAGTGACAGAAGTGTATATTGAACATCGTGAGCCATTTCAATGTTCCATTTGCTCCAAAAGTATTTATATAAACTAAACTTTATTATCTGCAGTGAATGACTTAAAGTTGTCTCTGCATTCTCAGTACCGTAAGAACATTCTTTTTTTAAGATAGAAGAGTGAAGCATTGACCTTTTTGTGGAACATCACCACAGACACATTCACAATTGAGCTGTGTTTGGGATTCAGAATTGAACAACCACCCTAGAAAATTAATTAACATCCTAGATATTGTAACACTGTACATTTGCGTAGAATGTGTTCGGGACAGCAAAGAGATAGCACAGCATCGTGGGATTAAGTCATTACAGTACGCATGTACTACTCACAACCCCGGGTACTTCAACTGCAAACAACGGACATAATCATGAACGACATACGGTTCATAATCATAGACATGATCAGAATGATTGCAATGGGCTTCACCAGATTCACCTCATGTAGTGGAAGGGGCATTGAACTCAAACATGTAGACCAGAAGGTGATCGCATATAGCCGGGAACAGCATGTAGAGCCACTGCACAAACTTTGTTTCCAAGTAGGGATAGTTGTACTCTCTCAGACGCAACGCAGCCGCACGTCCAATGGCCCAGGCAGCGTCGGCGGGCTCTCCGTACAGCTTCATGATATCTGGTAACTTGGTCTTGGTGTTAGTTTTGGCGTTGTCTGAGCCAAACAGACCTAGTGGAACTAGCGAGATGGACACGTTGGACTTCTGGATCATCAAATCCTGCCGCAGTGAGCCAAAGAAACCGTGCAAGCCGTGCTTGCTTGCCGCATAGATATGCGTCAGTGGCGACGGCCAGAGACCCGTTGATGAGGAAACAGCTACGACAACCCCATGGCTATCCTCCAGTGCCGGCAGAGCATACGTTGTCAAGTAAATGTAGCTTAGGAGATCTATTTGTACCAGTTTTGTGGCAAAATCCAAGTCGGCGTCACTTGTCCACAGGGTGTAATAGGACACGACGTGGTTCAGTATCAAATGATCAATTCCTCCCAACTTCTCCTCAGAATATTCAATCACATCTTTGCTGGTATTCTTCAAGGAAAGATCCCCGGCAAACACTTCCACTTGTGCTGCTCCCAAGTCACGACACTTCGCCTGCACTTGCTGTAGAACTTGCAGTCTGCGAGAAACCAGCACTAGTCTTGCACCAGCCCTGGCGTAAAGGTAGGCGATCTGCTCACCAATACCAGTCGATGCTCCGCACACTATGACTCGCTTGTCCTTCAAGTCCACATTCGGATCAAACGTATCGTACAGGGACACCGCTACCAACACGCCCACAATCAGCACTGACCCCAGCACAAACTTTCTCATTCTGCTAGTGTAAAAATGACCGGCGGCAAAACTCAAGGCAAGGTCTGTGGGATGATTATGATTCACGAATGTCAATACAGGTTTGTGCAGCCTGAGCGGTTGATCCTGAGATAGTCTGTACGAGCGTGGACAAGTAAAGACTCGAGGTCACGAACAATAATAATTTATTTCGGTGAATGTTACTTACTAAGGCCTTGGCTTCTTGCAGCTGCAGTAAAGGCTATCGACTGAGTGAAGATGGTTAGACACCAGGCAGGGAGTAGGTCTACTACAAACCTAAAATTTAATTTTATGTACTCTCGTAGGGAGAGCGTCATGTCGTTTTCAGCACGCCCTCCAACGCCCGGGCAACGGCCAAGTACAGTGCGACTTGCATGCAAGACTTTGCAGAATCTAGAAGCAGCACGACATCGGCAGTCCAGACTCCATGATCCAGTCTCCAGGTCTCTTGCCACTACTCGCACTAGCATAGCACTGCCAGTCCCGGACCAGGTGATGTCAGGTGACAATCTGAATCAACCTCTCCACCATGATCAGGTACACATGTACTGTACCAGCCGGCCCGGCATTACACGTTTTTCAGGGTTACATAAACCTTTATCTGTACTCTTGGTAGTAGTAGTAGACCTACTACTGAACTTCGCCTTTATTTGAAAACAAACCGGGTATCAGAAAGAAGAAACTGAAAAGCGCAAGCAAGAAAGGCAATGGTGACAAAACCATTCAAGAAATTAGCAAAAATCCAATCAAATAAATAGGAAAATCCAATCAGAAAATAAAATTATTATTATTATTATTATTATTATTTAAATTTTGAATAGGGCAAAATAAAAGAATCAAGCCAACTAGGGAATACAAAAACAAAGAGCAAACCCGCAAACACCATCCAAGCATCGCTACTACCAGTACGATGACGTTTCCATTCACCCAACCGCTTTTAAAAACGCTTTTAAAACGAAAACAAATACAACAGAACACTCTGAGACAGAATGAAACCAATGACACTACGGAGGATTAGCAAGACGAAATTCGCGTTCGCGTTCGCTCTCCAAGGAAAGTCGAACTCAGTGACGGAATTCGCGTTATGAGAAGGATCAGCAAACAGAATTCGCACATGCATGACGTTGACACGAAGGTCATCATGGTCATTGTGCACAGACAGAACAGGGTGGTAAATTTATGACTGCCCTGACACGAATCCACGATTCGTGTTCCGACTATTTTTCCGAACGAAAAATGCGAAAGTTCGCAATCCAGTTCGCGAACTGAAAAATGTTTGCGAACGCGAACGCGAATTTCGTCTTGCTAATCCTCCGTACTATTATGGCAAGTCCATTGATGCCCGTCAGCGCGGCATATGAGCCAACGTACGGCACTCCGTCACAAAGCAATGTCGGCCAATGCCGGATCCACTGCGTAGGTATGATGCACGTGACCCCCGGAAGCAAGTAATCTGCCACCGCATCAGAGATAGACTGATTCTCGAGCGCAAGTGGCTGATGATGAGACGATAATTATGGTATGTCCGAGTTCTTATGGTGCATTTGTGTTGCGAGGGTCTTCAGGAAGATGCCACATTCGGGAGCACACTGACCACTGGTGGCGAAAACAAGCGGAGTGAACGATCCTCGATCCACCTGATTGATTCGATCGGAATACTGACGTTTCTTCTGACGCTCGTGTTGGGATAACTGCCTCGACACTTCCGGTCCAGACAGCAAAGACGGCCTTGGGTGCGTGACCCGTACATCAAAAAAGGCGTTTTGCTGCCTGGTCCAGAAGCCACGAGCCCGTATATCCACACGAGCACCGTCAGCTGAGCTTCCCGAGACGGCTTCACCACCCAGCGGCATCAGCGGTGGCTCAATCTCGACATCGCAAACAACACTAGCGAGTGCGTCCGCTAGGAGGTCGCGAAGTTCATTATGTCTCTGGGTAGGGTATCCCCCGCTTGGGCACGTGAGGGCGTGATGAACCGACATGTCTTGGCCACAAACACAGGATAATGATATGCCATCAAGCGACAGGCCATACCTCAGGCACAATGCGTCTCGAAAATCAGACTTGTTGAATATAGTTAAAGGGAATGAAGCCGAGGGAGGCGTAACCAGCCACGTTGACACACCGCCGTCACCCGCGACATCCACTAGTAGGCGCTGCTCATCCGTCAGAGCGGGCTTGATCTCCTCCAATGCAGCATTGTGCTGCGCACGGCGTTCCCGGCGAGCCTGCGTGGCCAAACCCCTGGAGGCAGCGATGATATCGGCAACAGGACTGTCGATAGCATCAGGACCATCGACAGCACCAGTCAGCACGCAATCCACCATGGGCATTATCGACGTCCGGCAAAGGAGGTACTCAGCCTCCGCACGCAAACTGCCAATGCGGATAGGCAGCCCTCCATTCCTCACAGGCATTGCAAATAGCTGACGGAGTACACCATCAGCCGCAAGAGGATGGCCTGTTAACGCTGGCAGCAGATGTTTGTTGATGACGTCATCCAGTGGCGTGTACAGGGCAGGGTCCACAAAGACTGCACGCTGCAGATAAGTCCAACGGGACTGCAGAGAAGACGCGAAAGGCCGCCTGAGGCTGGGTGACAGCCAGACCAGCAAGGCACCTAACCAATGTGGACAGTTCCTCAACACGGCTCTTCACAAAATTCTCTCGGAACTGTTGGTCTCCAATGGCCCCGCCAAGGTACGGATACGGACATCAGTGCCGGAAAATACCTCCTGGGCCCTTTCCATTAAATGTGGACGGATGAGTAGAACCGTCTTCATGGCATTGGGGTGGTAGCCATACCGGGGCCCCTCCTCCACGATGCAATCCCAATACCCACGCAGCGGCAGGAGCTCTCCGGCTGCGGCATCGTCATCCGCGTACCAAATCTGGCTGGTGCTTGGAAGTCGACGCGACAGCCGAGATGCCAGGGGCACAGTCGCGAGAGCGTAGAACGCCATGGCAAGAGGATCCCCTTGGCATGTACCCTCCCGGCAATAAATGACCTCTCCGCCATTGAGGTATAGAGGGATGTCGGCCTGGTAGGTGTTAATGGAAATTCGCCCAGCGGCAGGACAGATTCTTGGAATTTTGTGTAGCGCCGCGGCCCTGTTCAGAGAATTGAAGGCGTTGGACGCATCCACCAGCAGGATACCTTCAGTCATCTCGCGGTCATAGAGGCCGGTCAAAGCCTGCACCCCGACCTCGCAAGCCGACGGGACGCCGACGCACAGCTGATGAGGAGCAGTAACCGCAGCCACATCCCTCTCGATAACCGACATGACCACTTTCCCGATCACGCGGCGAAACACCTCCCCGATGGCTATAGGCCTTACCCCAGGCTGCTTATTCAATGGAATGAGCCTTGCTGCCAGGAATGAGCGGAGATCCTGCGGCTCAATTGCCTCAGTGCAAAGACGCTTGGCAGCACGAGCCAGAGCCGAGCACAGGTCGTCAGAAGCTGATGTATACATTGAGGCCATCCGACGCCAGGCAGCGGAGTCAAGGCCTGACGGACCCGCTGCCCCCTTCATAATCATGCAGGTCTTGCGGATTTGAGCTGGTGTTATTGAATCAGACAGCACATTCTCCTCGACTGTGGCCTCATCATCGAGTAGAATCTCTGGTTCTGCATCAGCCGGAACAGGATGCTTGTCTCTCAACAATTCCAGTACCGACTTGCCACCCACAATCTTGTCCAACGGGAGTACGCCACCACCACCATCATCCTCCAGGTAGTGAGCAGCTGTTCCGATGCGGTCGCCGTATACCATTTTTGCGAACTCGACGTCATCCAGACCATTAGCTGCTGTTTTGCCAGGTGTTGATCTGGGTAGATGGGCTTGAATGCACCGTGCCTCACGCAGCAATGCCGCCATGTCCCCGCACCTCCACCAGTCAAGACGCTTGCGTAACGATTTCTTGTTGTCAGAGGCATTGGATACTACAAAAGGCCGCTGCAAAATCAGATGGCAAGCAATGACCACAGCCGACCATGCAAAAGCTCCGTCGCGAGTTCCGCCGCTGAAAAGACCAATCAGGCAAGCTAGTTCTTTGACGAACCGACGACCCTCATCCCCGAAAGGTATGATAAATAGATTCCGTTGCCACTTGACTATTTCTGCATGGGTTTTGTCCATTAAAATGATTATATCGTCCGTTGGCAACGACCAAAAGCCATCGGGTTCTGGAGAATCACATTTCTCGGGTGGCAGATCAACGAACTGAGGCTGTCGAGACGAGCCGGGACCCACAGAGGTCGGCGCTGCAGACGCAGGTACCCGGGAAGCTGCAGTGGGATCAGCAGAAGCACCCACGGGCAAAGGGGCGGCAGCGCAATCAGGAACCATCCCCGAGCACACAGGAACAGGCAAGTCCACCCGTAGTGACTCCACAGACGGAACCGCAGTCGCAGACACAGAAGATTGGGAAGATCCTGCGACTCCAGGCGCCGGTGCCGCACCCGAGCGTTCGGCGGCCGACGACGGGTGCCTGGATACCGAAGTAGTCCGTACCTCGCGAGGCACACCACCGGTCCGGCCAGCAGCAGACTCACCTGATCGAGAAGGCTGCACTCTTCGTCCGCTCCAGGCCGGCGGATCACCAGCAGAAAGGCCTTGAGGCACCTCTGATCCACCAACATCATGCAAATCCAAATTTCCAAAATTCTTGCAGCGCCCAACTTGACCTGGGTAGCAATTGACACAGCATCGTCCATCCTTATTGCACGAACATGCTCCGCACGTACCAGTTTTCTTGCTGCAGGAGCAACAGGGCCCAGCCGACGCCCCACGCCGTGACATGCCATGCAGCCTGCAGCACGGGCGAAGAGACGCGAGGTGTGAAGAGCACCTCGCATGTCACTCGCCACAGACCATGCGGGAAAACACTCACTGTGACTCAGCCGCGAAGCACAACACAGCAAGCCATCTCACCCAAGGCCCAAAGGCGAAGGCACCGAAACTACAGCACAATGGCCGGTTCGCCAGGCAATACGACACCAGCTGGATGTAGGAATAGCGGACTGGGCAACTCCACAGCGGTAAAAACTACTGGAGCCGACTCCTGAAACCTAGACGAAAGTAATGACGTAGGTTAAACAATCGGTTGACCTGGACAGTGGATAAACAATTAGAAAAACTGCGGAGGAGCAAAATCTCCATCCGCACTCTATGAGCAAAATCTACTACCTACTACTAGTCTAGTAAGTAGTAGTAGATCTACTAGTACTAGTAGATTCTACAGCTTACAGCGGTTGCGAGTTGCGCTGGTGGAGGACCGTTGGCGGTTTGAAAGCTCTGGCTGATGAGGAAGCTTGGTGAATATTCTGGAGGACTGTTCGTG